TGAGTGGTAGGGGACTCCCATACCCAGTCCTGTGAGTGGTAGGGGACTCCCATACCCATCCTGTGAGTGGTAGGGGACTCCCATACCCATCCTGTGAGTGGTAGGGGACTCCCATACCCATCCTGTGAGTGGTAGGGGACTCCCATATCCATCCTGTGAGTGGTAGGGGACTCCCATACCCATCCTGTGAGTGGTAGGGGACTCCCATATCCATCCTGTGAGTGGTAGGGGACTCCCATACCCATCCTGTGAGTGGTAGGGGACTCCCATATCCATCCTGTGAGTGGTAGGGGACTCCCATACCCATCCTGTGAGTGGTAGGGGACTCCCATACCCATCCTGTGAGTGGTAGGGGACTCCCATACCCATCCTGTGAGTGGTAGGGGACTCCCATATCCATCCTGTGAGTGGTAGGGGACTCCCATACCCATCCTGTGAGTGGTAGGGGACTCCCATACCCATCCTGTGAGTGGTAGGGGACTCCCATACCCATCCTGTGAGTGGTAGGGGAAAAGGGTTACATGGGAACATAATGGACTCGGGAACCCCAAAATTTATTTACCTAAGCAAGTTATAGTTGTGATTAGCTATTTTACACAGTAGAAACATCACTCTCTCTCTCTAAAAAAAATGTAAATATTTAAATCAAAATTATCTACTGCCAGAAATATTATCCAGTTAATAATAGATAATAATATTTCATTGTGTCAGGGGACAGCCAGTCAGATCTATTAAACATATAGTTGAGTGATTTATTGAACAATCAACCACAAAAAGTTACAGTACAATATTTACGCATTATGCTTGAACCTGCTGCTTGGGTAACAGCTTCTCCCCCCGTACCAACCTACCCTGGCTTTGCGCCCTGGTGAGGCCACTCCAGACCGACAACCAGAGCGCAATTCCATAGGCTCCTGAGGCTGATGGATGCCCACTACTACTATAACTCGTTCTGAATACAAATTCACGCTATAGGTGTTATGTGTGTGTGGGGGGGGGGAGGGAGGAATCCAATCCAGACTGACCTGCCACACAAATTGTTATCGTGTTAGAATTACTTGTGTGACAGTCTCCATGATAACTTGTGTGACAATCTCCATGATAACTTGTGTAGGCTTTGTATTAGTATTATGGTATTCTTCATAACTTTGTGACAAATGTTAAATTTTTTGTAGTGGTATCAGTACGTTGTGGTTATTTTAAGATAATTTGTTGATACCTCGTGGTACTCGGGGATAAGTTGATCCATTCTCTACCTCGAAACATTTAATTAAAACAAAATGAACATTTGTACAAATAAAAGTTAGTTTTACATACCTCTGGCGCCAACTGACAGGATGCATCTTTTATATTGTGTAATAAAAAATATATATCTTCATAAGTAGAAATTAATATTATTACATAAATTGTGTTTGTGAATAAATTAGGTCCCGTATTTTGGTGTCGGTAATTTAGCGATTAAACACAATGATGTCAGTATTTGGGTAATACATCTGGCAGCCGTTTACAACCAGGACGGGAATGGATCACGTTTCGAGTCGTTGCTTCGAACGTGGCAAAACTTGGCTTGCAAAACCGTCATTCACGCTAATAATTTCAGTATTTAACAAATGTAGGAAGCGTGAGTAATACCATTTCAATCACTTGAATTAATCGATATTTGAACTCTTTAAGACTCAAAAAGTCCTACCAAACATGTTGTATCCATTGCAACCCGTCCTCGACTCAAGTCCATTACATCCAGCGGTCAGCCCCACAGACGCATTCATAAATTTTAACATGCTGTTCATTCAAAACGGGAATTTTCTCAAGTATAAATTAATATTATAATATATTAGCATATTGTGTATATATAGGCATAGGATAGGTTAGGTTAGGTGTTTAGGTTCTGTTGGCGATTATTTGTATTTGTAGTACGTGGGTGAAGCATTTACAGCGTTGTGGTTTGAACAAAATTCGTCAGTGAAACACTTGTTCCGGAAGTGTTCGAACGTCAGCAGTTGTGAGTCCTGTGTAAACCCTTTTTCATTTATAAACAAGGGGTTTGGAGGGTGGATAGAATCACTTTTGGGTCTTTGTTTGGAGGACAGGCTGAGTACAAGAATGTAACAACTCTTGTATATATCTCAAAAAAAAAAAAAAAAGATCTGAGGCAGAGTTCGAATCTCCGATGATTCGTGTGAATGAAATTTACAGCCCGTCCTCCAAACAAAGATCCAAAAGTGATTCCATGCACCCGCCAAACCCCCTGTTTATGAATGAAAAGCGGTTTACACACGACTCACAACTGCTGACGTTCGAACATATCCGGAACAAGTGCTTCACTGACGAATTTTGTTCGAATCACAACGCTATAAATGCTTCACCCACGTACTACAAATACAAATAATCGCCAACAGAACCTAAACACCTGACCTAACCTATCCTATGCCTATATATACACAATATGCTAATATATTATAATATTAATTTATACTTGAGAAAATTCCCGTTTTGAATACACAGCATGTTAAAATTTATGAATGCGTCTGTGGGGTTGACCGCTGAATGTAATGGACTTGAGTCGAGGACGGGTTGGAAATTTAATACATTGTGAACCCGACGAGGCTTTGTTATGATGATGAGTGAGGTAAATAAGCCAGCCATAATTACTCCAACGTTATCCCCGCTGCCGTACGGTGTCGTACACGCGCCTCGACCCTCGCTGCACTATGGACACTCCTGACACACCAGCAGGGTAGTTTACTCAACTCGTCTTCGTAATAGAACGTCGCATTTTGACGTATACTCTACCGAAAGCCAAAAATTGCCGTACTAGAAAATGGAAGCGGCTCGCGAAATTGACATACTGTTCTGTTTTCTGTTTTGGGTCCTCTGGTAAGTTAGGATATAAGGGCATTTTAGTATGAAAGTTTCTTGACGTTGGGAAACCGTTGGGAAAAAACGAGGACGGGTTGATTTATTATTTGAGTGTTCCAACCATGAAACTGTATTTATTAGGCTCAAATAATGGAAAGTTGCACCAAATTTAGTCTTTGCAGATGTCTAAAAGATACTAATGCGACTGGTTGCCATAATGGCCGTGTTATCTCTGCTTTACAGTTTATCTACTTACATTCCGTGATGTGGTCAGTTCAGTCGATGGATGTACATGCTTCCCGTCCAACTATTCAAGTGCCGCTAGTGGCATTATGTTTAGATTTGTATTAAGTTGGCTATAATAAACCTTCTAGTGTTCAATGATTTATACTGGATAATAATATTCTAAACGTGTCTGTACTCGCCTAGTTGTACTTGCCAGAAATTGAACTTCAGCTTTTGGGCTCTACCTCAAGTCCATAATTAAATTGACTGAGAAGTCCACTACGGGCTCACCATAGCCCGTGCCGCTTGGAACTTTTTGTTCCAAGTAGCGAATCTTGAACAATACCATGGTGTTCCTGTTTAGGTTCCTAAACGCTTCTGGTTCTGTCGCACACCTGTCTGTACTCATGCCAATCTGTATGTCGTCTGCCTCCTCCTTCACTCCCTGCTTTATTATAGATTCATTATTGTGAGAAGTTTCTACATCCACGCATATCATAGTTTATCCGTACCAATTAAGCCTGCTCTTATCTATATCCTTTTATTTACTCTAGTATTTTGTATGTCGTGATCATGTATTCTTTATCTTCCAGTTATGTGAAGTTTATTTCCCTTACTCCTGCCTCATAACTTGGGCTTCTTAACTCTGGGACGAGAATGGTAGCACACCTGTGGATTTTCTCCACCATTAACATGTATTTGACGATATATGAATTTCATGCTGATACTGTATATTTAGGAATAAATCTGATATATCTATATAAGTCTGTATTCACCTAGTTGTGCTTGCGGGGGTTGAGCTCTGCTCTTTCGGCCCGCCTCTAGACTGTCAATCAACTGTTACTATTATTTTGTTTGCGTTTATTTTTTTGTTTGCTATATGAGGTTAAAGATCAGATGCTTAGGGCTACCCTCGCCAAACTTTGCCAGTTGAATAGTCAGGGGTATGGGATGGCCATAGGCTGGTCTAAGTCGGTCCTATTAAGAGGGAGATGACCATAATAATGACGCCTCCCCCACATAATTGGTGAAAGGTGACGGTCCCCAAATTTCGTGGTATCTAATTAAATGGAAATGTCTGTCAGAGATTTTGGAGGTCTGAGTTGGGGAGGGGGGGGAGTTTGACTGTGGGGAAAGAGGGGGGGGGAGGTGTTGAGGGGAGAGAGACTATCCCGGACATCAGGTACCCCATTTGGTGTGGTATATACAGACTTGAAGTACAGTATTCCTTATTTACGTTTCTGTAAGTAGTTCTGGTGTATGCAGCGATGTTGACCAGTTGGGAGTTATATCTGTTGTGGGCTGCCTCAACCTGTGAATAGTCAGCAGTTGACCTAGTTGCTAAACACACACACACACACACACACACACACACACACACACACACACACTTGATCAGGATGTGCATATGGCTGAGAGCATAACTATACAACTGAACTTTTGTAGGGACGGTGTGTTTTAATTGAGACGGGTCATTAGATACAGTGTGTATTATATATCCCACTTGAGTTTACTTGTTTAGTATTAAGGTATATTTGGTGGTTGGTCAGTAAGCTATTGTGGTCTTAATAACCCTCCCGCTGTTGACACTAAAGCCCAACACAAATTCAAACTATTCGTGTATGTTTTGTTTTCTCAATTTACCCGAGAGCCACTAACACTAGTGGCCTCTACGAGGACAGGAAGCCAGCGGCTTGTTGAAGGTCCTCCTCCCCCTTATTTGCCGTGATGATCTTTTCCAGCTGTACTTTAAAAGTTAATAGTTTTCTATAAGTAGACCCAAACAAAGGCATTGACACAGGACTGCGTTACAGGTAATAAATTTTCGCGTGAGCAGAGCTCTAGATGCCAGTTATTATACTGTAAATGCTCTACAGAAAACCTTTAGATAATGTTTATGAACATTTGTGTTTCAGGTGCGGCTGGGAGTGGAGCTGTGGGAAGTGGGCGAGCCTCTTGCTGGTGAGGAAGGTGACCATAGTGGTGTTGAGGGGGTAGGGGGCAGCTTGAACCCCCCGGGACAATCCCAGGGGGGTGCAGGCGTCCCCGGCACTACCCGCAGCAACTCCTCCAGGAGCGACACCTCCTCCTCCGGTGCGTCATCGTCTTGCTGCTCTTCGTCGGGCGCGCCTCGGCGCCCCTGCCTTCACGCGGCGCTCTCTGATCCGGGGTACGAGTCTGCACACCTACCTGACGACGACCGAGAAGATCCTGATCAGCAGCAGCACTGTCACAGTGGAGGGGGAATGTCACTACGTGAGCGCTGTGAGGGGCGTGAAGGCTCGCCTTTGCACCAGGGCCTCACACGCTCTCGATCCTTTGGTGGCCTATTGACCCATCGTCGCTCGGGGTCAGGGGCTGGGTCACCTCAGCAGACTGCAGTTAGAGCAGGATGGGCAGGCCAGGGCGTACTGGGCCAGACAGGATCCTCACCCAGAGACGTGCGCAGAGTACTTGCTTTGCCTCCACACGTCAAGGTCCCCAAGTCTCCGAGGCCAGAGCGCGCCTCTCAGATCAGCAGCAGTGTGGCCCGAGGGCTGAGGGAGTGTGTCGATGCCACCAGACAGGACCTGGAGACCCTACACCAAGCACAGCAAGACTCTCATTTACACCAAGTAAGCTGATGAGCTACATTGTGCATCCTTTCATATTGAATTAATGGTTGTTCAACTTTTTTATAAATATTGTCTCAAAAAGACTTCTTGAACATATGCTCAGATATATATATGTATGGAGATCGAAGATTCTTCAATAGTTGTATTATTAGTTAATTTTGTTTCATGCGAGCACATAGAGCAGAATGATCCCTTCCCACGTGTCAATAGCTCACATCTTTTCACATTCAAAATATAATGATGTACTCGATTTATTTTTTCATAAGTTTATTCTCTAGTTTCATATTTCTTTTTTGCTACTATTACATATTCTCAAATGACTATACACTGGGTTGAATAAATGTAACCAATCTTTAACAGAGTAGGTTACCCATATGTCGGGCAGATATGTCTTCAGCACATGTTTGGAAAATTTGTACTATATTATAAGTGTGTGTGTGTCCGTTCGAGGTTAGGCGCTTTGAGTTAACTTCACAAAATACATTATCCCTTTGTGTGTAATTGTACCTCAATAAACTTGTTTAAATTTCACCAAATTCTGCACATAGTTGGGGCCGATCGACACCCTTGGCCCTCTATGAATAAAATGCCAAATAATAACTTTCCCATCTTGCTAAATCCAAGACTCCATTCTCGCTAAGATTACCCCTGCATATTATTTTATGTGATTAAATGTTAGTTTAATTACTGACGAAGACTTTGTGTAGTGAAGATGGTTAGTGATGAAGAGGAAGGTGGCAAAGAGTAGGTAAGATATGATGACCAAACCACACGTCAGAAGATGGAGAAACGACAACGTTTCATTATCAAATTGTGTTGATTTGGTCATCATACCGTTATCAACTCGCACAAGACTTGATAATGATCCATGACAGATCGAATCGTCGTTGCTTTTCCATCTTCTAATGTGTGGTTTGGTCATCATTATCTTCAGCCACATTGTGACTTATCGTCTGCAGTAAGGAAGATGGTGGATAGGGATGGTAGGAAAGTCAGTGAAGGGTAAGGAAGACAGTGACGGGAAAGGGGAGGAGTAAAAGGGCAGGGATGATTAAGGAATGTGCTGAACAGTAGGAAGTTTCTACTACAAACATAGCCACGCTAACCAGCCACAAGGTTTTATACTTGAATCTATCCCGTTTCCGATATACCAGTACATAAACAGTCTTCCAGATGGTATAGTCCTTACAATGTTTTGCTGCCTATGCTAAATTATGAGAAGCATTAAGATGACAGCATGAGGCTTCAAGATGACATGACAAACTGAAGGAATGGTTCAATAAATGGTTTAGTTTAACCCAAGCAAATGTAAAATAATGAAGATAGGCGTAGGGAGCAGGAGACCCGATACAAATTACCATTTGGAATATGAAATTCTTAAAGAATAGGAGTGAGAAAGACCTGGGGATTGATATCATGCCAGACCTGACCCCTAAAGCTCATATAAAGAGGATATCAGCGACATATGCCAGGTTGACCAACATAAGAACAGCCTTTAGAAACCTGTGTAAGGAATCATTCGGAAGGTTGTATACCACATATCAGACCAATCCTGGAGTATGCAGCTCCAGCATGGAATCCGTATCTAGGCAAGCACGACTAAATTGAAGAAGGTTCAAGGTATGCCACCAGACTAGTACCCGAGCTGAAGGGTATGAGCTACAGGGAGACACTATGAGAACTAAACCTCATGCTGCTGGAAGACATGAAAACTAAATGATCATGATAGGGGAGATATGATCACCACATAAGATTCTCAGAGGAATTGATAGGGTAGATAAAGACTGTTTAACACACTGGGTACACACACACAAGGGGACACAGGTGAAACAGAGTACCCAAATAAGCCACAGGGACATTAGAAAACTTTTCGGTGTCAGAGTAGTTAATAGATGGAATGCACTAGGAAGTAATATGGTGGAGGCAGACTCCATACATGGTTTCAAATGTACTGTATGATGGAGCCCAATAGGCTTGGGAATCTGTACACAGGTTGATAGTTGAGAGACGTGGACCAAAGAGTCAAAGCTCGACCCCCGCAAGCACAATTAGGTGAGTATAGGTGATTGCAATGGTTTTAGAGTGCTAACCAACATACATACATACATACATTCTCATCTGTCTTACATTAGGCAAGGTTAGAGATCTGTTCTCTTATGAAAAGTGGAGAAGGAATGTATTGATGATTGAGGATGTGGATAGGGTCTTGATAGTATCAAAGTAGTGTAGATGCAGATGGTTGCAGTGTTGAAAGTTACATGTAGTTTCAGATAGTTACAGTAAAGATGGTTGTGTGCAGATAAGACGGTGAGAAAATAGTGTGTAGTAAAGATGGTTATAGTGATATTGTGTGTGTGTGTGTGTGTGTGTAGCAGAATATAGTGATGGAGGTTATATAGTAAAAAAAAAAAAAATAGTGAATAAGATAATGTGGAGTGAAGATGTGACCTCCATCATCGGAACAACAGTGGCGTACCCCTTCTAGCAGCACTATATATAGGTGGAGGCATGTCCTGTTCGGTAGTCAGTATACTGTATTTGGTGGAGGATAAATATTGCATGTGGTACTGTATTTTTTTGTTTTTAGATCATTTTTATTTTTGCAATATTACTCGTGATTTTAGACTTTCTAGTACAGTATTGACAGATTGCTCAGAATGTTTTCTGTAATTTAATGAAAGCTTTATATTTGCAAATTTACTTAGGAGACTGAGAAATAAATTTTGACATGATGATGCATTTATGTGCATTGACTCTTAATACAATCCGACCCTATGTGTTCCTTCACATATTCTGTCTTTTCTTAACACCTGTACCTGGCACCATTAACGACTTTGCTAGATCTTTTGACTATTGGGAAATCTTGATGAAGAGTAAAGGTAAATGGCAGCACTAATGGTAAATTGATACATACTGGTAATTGCCAAATTACTTTTTTATAAAATGAACTAATCATCATAGAGTAACAATTGTGTATGTTGTTTTAAATTTTTTTTTTATATATAAATATGAAAAATTGATAAAATCTGGAACAAATGATATTGCTGTTGTAATCTGACAATAGATCAACAACATATGGTTTTCCTGAATTGGTGTTCTAAAGTCTGTTTTTTTGGAGGGTTACTAGATGTGGTTCGATGTTGCTAGTTACATGGATAGCTCCTCCCAATTCATTCCATGCCTGGCCCTTGAGTCATTTTAAGCCTACTGGGAATTGGAGTCCAAAATGTGGCCTCCCTCTATTAGAGATGTAGGGAGCAGGGTGTAATTGATCATCCTAATTAAGAAAAAGCCACCAGAAAGGTGGGTGAACCAAAACTGGCAATGAGCGAGGGTAAATCAAACGGAAAATGAGACCCTGAATTGAATAAAGCACCCATCCGTGAAGCGGTTCAATTGCTAATTACACCCATGCACTGCCGGGTGGCTGCATACTTAACCTGTCAATTCCTTGACTAGACAGCCCTTGGTCATTTTGCTCAAGTATATATACATTTTTCCAAGTCCTTGTATATATTATTTGATACCCCTTCTCGTCTCTCTTTGCAGAGAGTACATTTTGAGAACTTTGAGACAGTCCCAAAGCTCTCAGAATTTATTAATTTTATTATTTAGTTTGACATAAGTCATAACCCTTCTTCAAGCAAGTAAACTTCACACGCCCCTTTCCTTCCTCCCTCCCCTCTTTATTACTGGACCATAAAACAATAATGGAATGGAAATGACATTTTTGGAAAAGCCATCATCGATTGATGGCCTGATAAATGACATTATACCAGTTTTTATCATGCCAAGACAAAATCTTCAATTGTGATAAGAATAATTTGCCATTTGTTGCTGTCTTTATCTATAATTGAATCTCTACTATCACCATTTATCATTTAATTCCTGCACATATTTTCATTGAATATTATGGCAATCTTTGAAGAAAAAAGAAAGTGTACTTTTATTAATACAAAATGGGCTTTAGTTTTAAAAAGTTGACATTAATCATGACTCCAAAATTAAGATTAAAACATGGATATTTACAGTTTATTGAAAAATATCATAATCAATTTCCTCAAGTGATGATTAAAATATAGTACAATATTGTACTTTTTTCTTTTTTCTTTAAGATGTATCCACTGACATAAAATTGTAATTGACATGGTAGGCTAACATTAAACTATTTTTTCTTCTTGGCAGTCACAAGGTCGTTTGTATGAGGTTGAAAAGGTAAGACTCGAGACTGCATGGAAAAATATGTACTATGTCAAACTGTTTAGTGAATGGACTTTTTAAATACTAGCCATGTATGTATTCTGAGACAGCATTCGGAACTCCTTTTAAAGTATGTACGCTTTAGCTATGTGACGGGAATATGTTCTGGGAAGGCCTCGGCATAAGCAAATTGATACAAAATGAGCTTAATTAATTAAACCAGCTGGTGTTTGTAGTCATATACAGTACTGAATATGGAAAAAAATAGGGATACATTTTGAGAACTTGAAATGAGTTAAACTTTTTTTTTCTTTCAACTCGATAAAAACACCTGTCCAAGCATTATTGCTCAGTACTGCCACATTCTAGCTACATATAGTGTATACATAAATGATTATTCATACTTTCAACTTGATGTAATAGAACAGAGTAATTGTCACGTCCCAGGCCAAAAAATATACTGTATAAAGTAGACAAGTAGACTTGTCAGTGATACAAATGTGAGTTAACATTACTTCTGACCACCTCATGAGGGGATCATCTTGGGCCACAACATGCACTAAATAAACATTACATAGGGCTTGGTAAATTTAGTGTTAATTGACTACTTCACGTAAAGGAAATTTAAAATCTCCAAAAGCAACTGTATAGCAAGCTTTTCACTGCATAGTTAAGCATAGACTGAATTTTCATTTACCTGCTCCCAAATATGGATTCGGTTTGTGCCTAAATCCCGGGTACATATAAATATATCCGTTTTGTGTATTTAGTTTAAAATATGAAAATGCTGTAAAAAATGCTCTCACACTACAAACAATGGCTGTGTTTTTACGGACACTAACATGCTTCATCCTGTGAGACTAATACTTGCATAGTATACCAGGTATACAGGTATATTATCTGTTTTGAACACTAGAAATACAGAAGTGTTTTACTGGTAACTTACCAGACAATTTCTCATTCCATTGGAGAAAAAAGTCAATTGCACATAACTTCTATTTATTCTCCTCTCTACTGTACTTGACAATGTTGTAGAAATGCCTGTAGTTTTGTAATGAAATTATTTTCCTTTGAATTGTTAATTTAAATTTATAACCATTTTTGACATTTCCAATTCTGTAATACAGTATCAGTTTATGGTGAAGAATTTTGACCACTATTGGAGCATGAACTCTTTACTTGTCTTATCCATGTTTGCAATAGATTTACAGTACTACCTGTAATATATAGGTACAGTACTAAATTTGAGCATGTAGTATATCTTGCACTGAACTAGAATAATGGCATGACCGTAAATATGCATGTGACAGGACATTCCAATACAATCCAGCATAGTAACTGTTCCTATTTTCAGAATTTATTTAAAGATGTTTGGTACAGTAACAATTTAGATACTATACTGCATTTAGTTTGTAATGCTTGTTTGAGATGAAATACAGATGTTATCTGTTTTATTACAAGGAAGATTATCATTAATATTTTGTATCGGAAATATCGTGCATATACTTCAGACTATTCTAGTTTGAATAAAGACAAAAAATACATCAATATTTTGCTTTAGGAAAATATTTTGTTGAGAAGTAATGAAATAGTTTTCTAGTGAACATATTGTAAATTATATTTGGCAGAACAATTGTGTTGAGTAGATTCCTATAAAAATATAAGTTGTATGGTGTTGAGCACGTGTATGGATTTAACTTATCTGTGGGCTAATCATATGTATTTTCACTATTAGTGATTTAATTCATGCTTCCTATGGCTTTCCAGCAAATTAAAGCAGCTGAGCGATATCTCAAAAGGATTGAGTACCATCTGAGTAAACTGGAGGACTTACAGGATCAGTATACTCTTCATCAGAAGCTGAGAGATGGGGTATGTATCATTATTATTACTGTATTCATTTTAAGGTTTATTTTGAACACCTTTTATTATTTATTATCATAGTAATGTTATGTGGGCTGTTTGAAATTAATAAAGTTATGTACCTGTACAATATTATTGTATAATACTGTACTGTTGAAAATGAGATTTAATTAAATTCTAGTGCAGAGTGAGACATTTAAGTATGTCCTTTCACCTAATACTGCTGATCAGTTACATACTGTAGCATTAAATGGGCACCTAGGAGTTATTTGATTGTTGGGCATTTAATCCTGGCAAGAGTGAGTCATTGGCTTCAGGGACTTGATAAATTTGACAGACTTCCCATCCCTGTCAATGGGAACCATCCCTTTAATATCTAATATCTCTGTGGCTTCTTTGGGCACTTAATTTCCACCTGTGTCCCCTTGTTTGTGTAACTGCACTTTTAAGAAATGTCCTTGTCTGCCCTGTCCATTCTCCTGAGAATCTTATATGGTATATCTTCCCTGACTTCCATCTTCTCGCGACTTGAGTCATTCTCATAGCACGTTCTTCTCTAATCTGGGACTAGTCTGGATGCCTATGTCTGAAATTCCTCCAGCTCTGTTTTGTGAAAGGCATAATGAGAAATCCACTTTGGTGCTGCAAACTTTTTCAGAGCAGGTCTGACATACTCTACGTGGTATAAAAGGTCTCAAATACTAAAAATTTCAGGTTACTAAAGGCATTTATTATGTTTGCCAACCTAACATACAGTTACCGATGTCCGCTTTATAACTGCCATTCTCGAAGACAGGAAGCCTGTACGGTACGTAGGCTTATCAAGGTCCCCCTAGGTCAACTATTGACTCTACCCAAGATGCAACCCCACAACATTGCCTAAGTCCCAGGTACCTATTTACTGCTATGTGAACGGCAGTATCAGGTGAAAGGAAAGTGCCTGATCACTTTCAGGCACCTTGTCCCATCTTTGGATTGAACCTGGGTCCCTCGTTTAGGTGCCGAGGACATATACTGTACTATTGTGCTATGTGACGCGTTAATTAATGTCGGCTTTAGGAGACAGGTTTCATATGGCATCAACCACTGAATCTCTTTCCTGCCTGTTTCTCCCATTCTTATGTGCTATAAAGTCTCTTCTTTCTAAATGTTTTACTAGCTTCTTTTTTATGGTCTTCTCTATCACCTAGAATGGTATGCAAGTAAGAAATCTATGCCTGCTCTCTTAATATCTTGTGAGAATCTATCGGTCCCACAGCTTTGGATATATCCATCTCCAGCAGATGCCTCCCTACTTCACCTCTATCCTCCAAAACCACTTGGTTTGATACTGTCCCCCTTAAGTTAGATATTTTTCATTGTTCTATTATGAAAACCTCCTGGAATCTCTTAAGGTCTTCACTCACACGTCCCTGTCATTCATAGTTAATGTGTGTACTTCAGTGTGAAGAAATGTATTAAATATTTTCTAGAATAAATGACTTCTCCAAATTGTAGTATGATACAATGTTTTGCTTTGTAGGTCCGAACCATGGCCTATGCTTACGCTCTTTCACCAGGCAAAGAAAAGGCCTCTGCCCTAAGTAATGTAAGGTCAGGCTACAGGGAGTGTACAGAAACTCTTTGTGCTTTGGAAGTGCAAATTGAGCAGCTCATTGGTACTTTGACATTGGAAATGAAAGGTAAGAATCATGGATATTTATTCTAATAATTGCATGAAACCTTGTGAGTTTTCTTAACTTTTCCAAAGAATTTTCTTATTTTATATTTTAACTATTTAAAGGGGGAAAATTTTTAGTAAACATTAGGAAGTGCAGTACTGTGTAGAATTTGTTTGAAAACAAAAATAATTTTGTTAAAATATTTATTTCAGGAATTTCATTTAGATTCATTTAAACACCTGTTAAAATTCCTGTAAATTGAGGTAGATTGAGAAATTTTCCCTGGGAAACATTTATGAATTAGATATATTAAACATGATGAGATATACGAGATGTACAAATGTAGTTTACCCTATGTTTGAGAAATTGCAAATAAGATTATTTACAAAGGCAATTTAATATTTTTGGGTATACAAAAAGTTTTTCTTGTAGGCATACAAGGATTTGCCCGGTTGTGTCCTGGGGATGTGTTTGAGGTGACTCTCAAACATGGTACCCAGAAGTGGAAGTCTCGAGGCAGAGTCTGCAAGGATAATACTCAGAATTGGGACAACCAAAGAACTGTTATTAAAGGCCTCATTGGTGAAATGGTATGTTGCTTCTGTGATCCCACTCGTGTATCATTTAAACAATATTTGTTCATAAATAAAACCTTAGTAAGATTGTAAGGTGTAAATGGCTTTTACATTGTGAATGATGGGTGTGCATGTAGTTAGTTATATTCTGTTAATTACTCTGAAGAGTTCTTATGTGCAACAGCATTTGTGAGAGCATGTAGAAAATTTGAGAGCAATACAGCAGATCTAAAGTTGTGCCTCTAACTCCTAAATGTCTCTGGAGACAGTAGCTATATTATGAAAAATTATTTCAGCTTTGTGGAGGTAACATCACTTTCTTCTGTCTCCACATGACCTCAATGTCTCTCTAAACAGGACAGTCATGGATTATTCAATGAAACAGTACTGGTGATTTTTAATTATGTGATGAAAATAGGAGCTCTCTGAATGAACATGTGGAAATAACTTGTGAAATTTTTCGTTCTTTAAATGAAGTAGATTTTTTTAAATGTTTAGTCACTCGATACAGTATAAGCAAGCATTCTATGTAAAACGGTGACCTAAAATATGGACCTATCGTCCGAATGAAATAAAGAATCGTGTAACATTAGAGATGTTTCAGAATAATGTTAAGAAGTACTCTAGCTAATTGTTGCATTATAGTTTGTTCTTGTGGTCCAGGTGAGCAGTTTCTTTGTAGCTGTTCCTTCTTTTCTGGCAAGATATTAGCTGGCTGGGTTCAGGAGGGACTCTTTGGTTGTTGCCTCTTAGTTTGTTTGACCTTGGGTGACTCACATGCTTTGTTCAATTGCAAATGTTTCTTTTATTTTAACATTCCTAGAATGGTTGTGTGGCATTGGGTCCTGGCACTGTTCTCTTTTACCTAAATTTACCTTTTCAATGGTTCTTGACTACTTCTCTCCTTTGATCTTCTCCATGGTAAGATAGCTCAAGAAGCCACTAAGAGGGAGCAGGAGAAATTGCTGAAATAGAGAATACAGAGGACATATACGGCACACATAGCCACGATAGAGCACCTAAGTTGTTGGGACCGTCTTGGCTCTTAAAATGGGTAGCTCTCTATCTCTTTGGAAAAAGAGATGGTAGCTCTCCATCTCTTTGGAAAAAGAGATGGAAAGGTATTGCATAATATACACATGGAAAATACTGGAAGGCCGTGTCCCAAATTTGCACAGCAAAATAACCACATACTAGAGCAAACAACATGGCAGGAAATGCAGATTAGACAGTGAAGACTAGAGATGCCATTGGCACAATCAAAGAACACTTCAAGAACATCAGAGGTCCATGCCTGTTCAGTATCTTCCCAGCAAGTATGAAAGTAGATTTCTTCAAGAAAAAAATAGTTTCCTAAAAGAATGGCAGGACCAGCCATGTTGTAGTGAATACTGTACATAGGCCTGCAGACTGCTCCAAGCAAGTCTGTTGGACCAAGCTATCACAAGTTCTTACTGTTAAAGGTAAGATCTAGGTAAGGAGCCCTCCCTGAAAACCCGCATTTAATGAAACCCCTCTTTCTGGTGGAACAGTGGCTTTCTGTTCCGACCCTTTCCTTATTAGGGACTTTGTGTTTTGTGGATGCCTGTTTTAGGATTTAGATTACTTTGAATATGTTATCAATTCAAAAATGGATTTTTTCAGTTATACATTGTTTTAATTAAAATTTTATGCACTTAAAATATAGTTTTAACAGCATAACTGGAAAGAACAGTGATTTATCTAAGTACAGACTATGTGGATTACTAAAAATTGCAGTTTAAATAATCTAGTATTTTGGTTGCTTTTGATCTATGGGGATAAGTGGAGAAATCCAAGCGCGATAGCTTCAGGGAGCCACCCTGGCTTTACTAGAAATGTTTGATTATTCAATGTTGGGTTTTTCAATTTTAATAATAATATAATTATTATTATTAAGTTGAAAAACCCAACATTGAATGTAATCAAACACACTTCTGGTAGGCCCAGGGTGGCTCCCTGAGGCTATTGTGCTGAGTTCTCCCACTACCACTACCTGCGAGCCACCGGTCTGTCTTGCTGGATACCCTGTTGATTGACCGTTTCTTTGGTCAACTGTTCCAAGGCTCTCAATTCTTGGGTCATCCATGGTGTTATTAGGACTAGCTAGCATGCGGTCTACCCTGAGGCCCACGATGTTTGCAGACATGCAGCTTTGGCTGTTTCTTCAACATTTCCTGGGCTAATATTTGGATTTGGGTTTTGGCATTCTAGCAGGGTTCTGGTGGCCTGGTATTTCACCATTGTTCCTGGTCTCATTTGGGCATGTACTATATACTTTAGTCTCTCTCTCCCAGCCTGGGTTGGTTTGTTTGTCCTATTGCCTGCCACCTCTCCTCCTCCCTGGTCAGTCCCATTTGTGTTCGGTGGTTGGTTACCTACAGGGAGCCACCGAGGGGGAGCACACCCTCCAGGAATTCGGCATTGAATGTAATGAAGCGACTCTGAAGGAGCCTTTGTAGAGCCTTGATTCCCCACCCCCATCTCTCAAAGTTCATCATTGGGTTATTCATTGGCTCCAGAACTGAGATGGGAAGCTGGCTGAGGGTGGCAGCTAGGCTGCCTGGTTGTGGTTATCACTACTGAAGAGTTTCAAGTTAGTGATTTCCTTGTTCTGTTTGAATCGTTTGCAGAGTTGTTTGGCAATTTTGAGGCTTCGTTTTCTGTGAACTCACCAGTTATCTATAAAGCTTCACTGACTTTCTGAAGTCATTTTTTTAGTGATGTGGCAGATTGTCACATGCTACCTATGCCTCTGTGAGGGTGGGGGGGGGGGGGGGCAGGTTCTGATTGTGGTCCCTGGTAGGCCAAACAGGAACTTCCACGTCTGATGTGACCTTTTACTACGGAGCAATCTCGGCAAGATAGTTTCAGGGAGCCACCAGGGGGGGGCTCTTCCAAAAAAGCAGCAATCCCTTCATTAGGGATTTTGCTAAACAAATACAATAGGTATTGCATTATGATCCTTTGTACGTATTCACCACTGAAGCATAACCACCTGTATGCCTTTACAAATAAAGATGATTGAATGATTGATGAGGTGCATTGCTATAGTGCTATAATAGTGTAACATAAATTGTATGTTTCTGTATGATAGAGATCTTTTCAATATTTAATAACCTCACATGTTATTTCAGTTACTAATTAAAGCCGTGGAAGTACGTGTCCTGGGCAAGACTGTGGTTATTGGTAACAAAGTGTGTGAAACTAAGGATCTTTTCTCGCCACATCCTCAACTCATGACTGTCAACCTTAATCCTTCTGGGTCCCTTAAGCTCAATATTGTTATAACATGGAAGTAAGTGAATATATAAATCTTTGACTTCATTTTATACATTTGCCAACCTTGTAAGGGTAAATATAATTTTTTTTTTAATGTAAAAGTACAATTCTGCAAATTTTGTTAAGTATATACATTATAGTTAATAATATGGAAGGGAGTACAGGAAGAAGTTAGCCTCTTATAACTGGAAGTAGCCTTAGCCTCGGAGAAAACCATGCATAACGGATTAAGAGGGAATATTTAGGTCCCCCTCCAATACAGTTTGTGTGCTTTTCTCCTACCACCTACTTCATTTTGTTTTGTTGTGCCTTATTAGATATTTAAAGGTTACAAGATGTACATTGGTTGATACAATGAGTGCTTAAAGGTAATGGATCTCTTGAGGGTTATCCACTTCCGGATAGGAACCGAGGACGCAGCAGGCGTTTCCCCTCTGGATCGCTACACTGAGGTGCTGGAACAAGAAACTGGCAGCCCTTGGGTCTCTGACGTCAATGAGCCTGGAACCCAGTTCCTCGAGAAATCACAAGGCACTTATAAAAATATACAGTACTACTGTATAAAATATTTGACTGTCACCTTAAAGTTCCACTCCTTTGAGTTGGATGGGGAATGCCCAGTTACTTCATCAATTTTGGGCTAGAAATTGAGTTTCTTAATAAGTGCTGGAATTGCTTCCCTTGATCACTTCATAGTTTATAATTTGGAAATACCAAGTTGATCTTCAATAAGAAAAGATTATGAACAGTTGCCATTTTATGCATTTTAGACCTTTAACACTGATTTTTTTTTCTATGAAGGTGGTCATTTGATTTATTTTGTGCTAGTGATGCAAAGTTTCCCTTTCATGAAAGGGTGTCCCCTGGCCACTTCGTACATTTGGTGCTGTAGAGACTTAATTAACCCATCATATAAGGTGGATGGGGTGCACCCATTCACTTGTGAAGGATTTAATGATGCTGAGCTAGTTGGCTGAAGTATAAAAAATGGAAAGATGAAAGTGGATTTTATTTATAGATGTTCTACCAGTAATTGCTTTATCTACAGGGCTAGTGTTAACCTCCTTGCTAACCTTGCTCAACCTTTGCCTCTTTGATCCCTTAATCTGGCCCTATATGTCAGCACTTGGCCTATGTATCACTTAGATGACAAAGCCTTTACAGGGTAAAATCATCAACAATTAAATTCTAATCTCATCTATTAGTTTCTGTACATCTTTATCACTTTGTGCTCTCAACAACCAATCAGTAGGTTTACTGCTTTATAAGAACATCTTAATTTTTATGATATTTTGGGCTTCTTGATTAACGTAACCTATCTTACAAAAAAGGTTGCTAGCACAATAGCTCAAGATGTAATAAAAAGATACTGGTAATAAATTTATCCCTTTGTATCACTGAAAATTTAATTACAGTATTGATATTTAGCGATAAATATCACACTGTTTATGTGAATAAAGTCAAACTGTAGATTTCTCACAGTGGTAGACGGTTGGAACAAGTTTGGCGAGAAGGTACTGGCCAAAACAGTCAGTAATTACAAAGCGTTATATGACAGTGCTGGGAAGACGGGACACCATGAGCGTAGCTCTCGTCCTGTAATCCATCATTTAGGTAATTATTAATGATTACAGATATATTAATATTTATTGAATCGCAAATAATACATATTTTTTTTTATTGTACTAACAGCCCTCTTGATGGTGTTATTGAGGATAGTTTGGTGAGAACAGCAAGCATGTCTGCCACATCACCAGGCAACAAAAGGAGAACACCTGTTCTTCATAATCTCAGCTCATCTCCACCCCACACTGTTGGTAGTGTAAGTATGTTTTAAGATATTTATAACTAATACAGTAATTATAAATAATATATACCCAGAAGAGTATCAAAATCTTTACATATATTTTAAAAGTTGTGTGCTTTATACAGGTATATGATACTTAGTAATTAAACTCATAGAAGAATAAAAGGCAGTGCTAGTGGAATGAGCAAGTAGTAAAAACAGTTTAAAGCAAAAATAAAGTGAATTCTATGGCTGGAAACTGCATGTCTATGCATTTTAAAATGGATTCTATAGCTGGAAGAGACAAGTGAATGCTTTTGTAGATGTGATGGTGTGCCATGTAGATTTGCTGGAGTGTGATGGTGCTGCCATGGATGTATTGCTGGTGTGTGTGTGATGGTGCTGCCATGGATGTACTGCTGGAGTGAGATGGTGCTGCCATGGATGTATTGCTGGAGTGAGATGGTGCTATCATTGCAGTATTGTGACTGTGCTGCAGTGCTGTGGATGTATTGTGACTGTGCTGCAGTGCTGTGGATGTATTGTGACTGTGCTGCAGTGCTGTGGATGTATTGTGACTGTGCTGCAGTGCTGTGGATGTATTGTGACTGTGCTGCAGTGCTGTGGATGTATTTTGACAAGGTGGACAGGACTGGATTACGGGTCTACTGAGCCTAGTGGTCCTAGAGTCTCGGCACCCACAGTTGCCTCCTCAATGGGGCCCAGATGCTCATTCTGTGATGCCATATGTAATGTGGAGGATTTGGGAAATGAAAGGACTATTTGTTTTGTTATCTTAAATCTGTTTTACCTATTTGATCTTGTATTTCTTCCGGGCTGATGCCTCTTCACCCCTCAAAAGTGAGACATGCGGTAGAGATGATGATGATTACTAAACCCAAACCTATTTAAGGCCCATTCTGTGGATTACAACTAAAATGAGTACTAGCTTGCTAATGACACTCTAATTTTAATTACCTTTGGTACTGTACAGGTTCCCTCTGGCAAGGACAACAGCCTGTCCCCGGAGTGTGATCACGACAGCAGTTTTGGTAGTATGTCTGCTCGTAGCTCGACAGCTGATAGTGCAAGTCCTCTGTCAGAGTATCGTGGATTACTATCATCACATGCGGCTCTCTCCACCAGAACAGACAGTAACAGTCCTGTTTCTGACTATCAAGGACTTTCAAGGAGAACAGATAGTCAGGTATTTATATTTGTCAGCATTAGTCAGTCAATTTATTTGATAAATTTGTACAAAAAAAGTTGCATAGCACAATAACGGTTAAAGATTTTTCTTTCAAATATGGAATGTATTTGTTTTATAATCGAATCGTTAATGAGAGTAATTTTCATAATTGTAACTACACTACAGTACTTTTTAAAGACGTTAATAGTTTAAGCTACAATTTTTTTCTATTTCTTAATATTTGCAAAGAGAAATTAATTTGAGATGCTGATCATAATCTCAGAATTGTAGGATGGCTACAAAATTGTGGGTTTCTTAGTGCTATATAACAAACCATATAGTATTAGTTTCAGCAATATACTTTTAACACTAATACTAAATAAAATATTCAGATGCCAATTACAGGAGTCAGATCACAATGTATTAGTTTGTAATTAACGTTCTTAGTGTTTCCCACTTGGTTCTAACAAACCTCTTATACGGTTCACTTTGTGCTCTGGTTGGTAGTAATCACAACCACCACCACCACTACTATTACTACCACCACAACCACTGTCACACCTGAAACCATTAACACAACCACTGCAGCAACTCCCACAACTATTACAACCATCACTGCAATCTTCACAACTACCACACTGACAACTACCAGAACTGCACCCACCACAATAACCAATAAACGAGGGGACCTTAGACAAGCAGCCGGCTTCCTGTCCTCATCATGGCCACTAGTGTGTTAGTGGCCCTCGGGTAAATTCTGGTAAAACTTGCACTCTGTTCATCATACCAGCCTGTGGTCATTATGTCAACCTGTGCATATTACACAAACCTGTTAGTCTAATCAGTATATCAGCCTGTACATATCACAACACATGCTGGCCTGAGATTACATTTTGTGACTGCTCTTATGTGTGCTAAATACAATCTAATTTTATGAGTTATTCCACTTGGATACTCCTTGAGGCAAGGTTCATTCTGATCCTATTGGCTAAGATCATGACAGTCAGGGTAGGGGTAACATTCTTCACTTCCTACTGCAGGATCTATGCCTCACCACGAATGATTGAAAATTCTCTTCAGTATTGTATGATGTTCTACTTGACTGTACACAATCTGTGTTTAGGACAGAGTGGAATCTTTCTTTTGGGAGAAGCCAAATGTGATGGCTTCAAAACTTGTAAAATGTGTAATACAGTATAAAAAATGAATTTCAATACTGTTTAACACTTTCGCGCTATCTGGACGCGCCGGCGCGTCCCGTTTCGTCTAACGCTAACGCATAGTGGACATAAAGTTGAGTCCTCTTTTAAAATATTTGTATAAAATTCAATTTCTATCCGATTTACTTTGGGTTTGTTTCAAACTGCGCGCTATGAGGCTCTCTTTCTCACCACTAGGCTGCATGGTACAATAAGTTCATGAAAGGTGTGGATAACTTCGATCAAATGGTATTTTGTCCCAAACGGGTTGCAGGTGGGTGACTTTAGCCGTTTATACTGGTAATGCTTCCCCCATATCATGTATTATATGCATATGTCTGTTTAGGGAATTTTATTCCGATCAATATACAACCAAAAATAACTGTGTGCAACAAGTATAAACTTGACAAACATAACAAAAGTAAAAACATTTCGTGTGTGTTTGACGCTCACTGATATGTTCCAGCGTTGTTTTATATTTGGCGCTATTCTAACTTACGCTTTGTTGATATTTTTTACCTATGGGCACATAGAACATTCTATTGCGAACACATTGACACAAAAATGAATGACGTACATAGAAAATTAATGTCATGAGAGTGAAATAAGTATAAACTTTCAAAGCGCCGTGCGTCGTCCCGTCACCGATACCGGGTAACAATTTCACAACTTCCCACACTCTTGCGGGCGGGCCGCATCATTATTCTACGCTTATATTCATATCACCGTGTTGGGAATTTCATTGCGAGTCCATTGATACCAAAATTAACGCTGTAGAATAAGTGTGGAGGTGATTACAATCCCAAGAGTAAAAACATTTTGTTGCTGATGGGCGCTCACGGCGAGTCATCTTCGTAGTTATTTATTTGGTGCTGGTATCCCTATACGTTTCGTGACTTTTTTTACTGATATTCTTCTAGAGAATTTTATTGCGAACACGTTGGTACCAAAATGAAATACGTAGCATGAGAACTAAGGTCAGAAGAGTAAAAAGAGTATACACATTTTTGTTTTTACGCTTAAGCGATAAAAACGCTGCGCGCACATTCGGTTGGCTGAGTGACCTTTGCGGAAAGCGCGAAAGTGTTAATGTTAAAAAAATTTCCTTATTCTGTGGTAATAATTATCTTTTATAAGTTTATCACTGTACTATTTTCAGGATTCTATATTATTTGATGGACGAGATTCTGCCAGTCCACAGTGTGATAACACTGGAAATTTTACACTGGTGCGTAAGAAGGAGAGTCGAGTGGAGCAGTGGGCCAGATACTCTCAAGTAAGTGTTGTAAACTCTTGTTCATTTCATGTGTTTCATCATGTTCTCTTAGCTGTAGGTTTATGCCTGAACAAGATTTTTTGCATCCATCAACATTTTACCTTTCACCCTCCCTCCCCATCCATTGTTACACAAATTTCAAAATTTGTTTGTATAATTACTCTTAAGAGTGATTAAAATTGCTGTACAGGCGAGATAATATAATCAACATAATAATATCCACTTGTTAAATACAGGAGGGACTGGTTCCAAATCTGCACACGGAAATAGAGTAACTCCTTGTAAGAATAAGACATTGCACAAAGTGCAAAATAGCCCCATTGAAAAGTAGAGGTACAACAGATATGCTAAGGAACCATTTTTGTCAATATTAAGGTCCAAAGACTTTTCAACACTATCAATACACAAGGGACATAACTAGCCGACTACTTAGGGGGTTAAAAGGGATCTTGATGAAGACCTCCCAAAGGATACTTGATCAACTTCATATGTCAAAACTGTGACCAGTGGCATCTAACAGCCTGGTTAATCATATCGCCAGTCAGGAGGCCTAGTCAAGAGACTGGATCATAAAAGGCATTCATCCTTTGAACCATCTTAAGGTAACCTTAGCAACCATGTGGTTTTATAATATCCTGATGTAGAAATTATCACTTGAATGCCTCTAAAATCACTGAATTGATTGGCATTTGTTAAATTTTAGATCAATTTACATTTAAATTTTATATCAATTTACATCATGTAAATTTATGCTTGTTTTATTAACAACCAGAACTCTACACAGGTATGCTCTAGGTACTGTGTAATCACAGTAATCTGATCTGCTGTAGTTTCTTATAAATAATAAGAGTAATATTATTATTATACTAATTTTGTCTTTGCAAAGCTACTTATATGCTTAGAAATTGAATGGTCCCTGTACAGTACTGTAAAGTGATTGTTCTTTATGACCAATGTCATGTGTGAGTGCCACAGAGTTTCAAAAGTTTACGTGCATTTTTCCATTGTACCGTAATTTTCCTGAATTGACATAAAAAGCACCATATTTTGTGGCTTCGACTGGTATGGGAGCCTAGTGTCTATAAGTTAGCTCTGCTCAATGAAAAAAGTCAGTGCAATTGCAGGGTTTTAATTTAATTTAACAATAGAATTTAACTACACAGCTCACTAATACTCTAATGTTCCTTGTGTTCACAGTTCAGCATCTCACAGGGTTCCAATCTTGACTTTATGTCAAGATCATACTCTCATCTATCGTATTCAACGGGACTTTCTCCTGCCATGTCACAATCACTCTCGCACCAATTAGACATGCTTGGTACAGACCCAGAGTCCTTCAGATGGGGCGACGGACAACACTGGGAGGAGACAAACCCTCCACTTACTCTAAAGAAGGTGAGAATTAAGTAATTGATGCTTTTTGAGATATGAGTGCTATACAACTACTGCATATTCCAATTTGGTCTCACAAAAGTTATGAACAGTTTTAGTATTTCACTATCTGTGTAATTAAAAGTCTGAAATTGGAAAGGGAGGCATATGCTCCTCACACAATGTTTGTGTTCCTTTGGTGACAGTTTACTATCCAAAACCACCCGTAGATCTTGTTCTTAATTAGTTTTTTCCACATAATTTATAAGTTGTGTGTGATCTATTTTCACAAAAGAGAGTATTCAGATTTCGGTTTTCAGATATTCAAATAGTTTTCAGATAGTATTCAGATATTCAGTATTCATTCAGGGAGCCGGTCGGCCGAGCGGACAGCACACTGGACTTGTGATCCTGTGGTCCTGGGTTCGATCCCAGGCGCCGGCAAGAAACAATGGGCAGAGTTTCTTTCACCCTATGCCCCTGTTACCTAGCAGTAAAATAGGTACCTGGGCGTTAGTTTGCTGTCACGGGCTGCTTCCTGGGGGTGGAGGCCTGGTCGAGGACCGGGCCGCGGGGACACTAAATATCCCCGAAATCATCTCAAGATAACCTCAAGATAACCAATTCCACATTGCATAAAATGGCATTTATTCACATTGAATTCCATTTGCCATCTGTCTTGTCTCTGATTACTTCCCCTCATATTTCTGTCAATTAGAGAATTTTTCATCCATGTCAGAAGTCTTCCTGTCACTCCATCCAGCATATTCCAGTTTCCAAAACAACCACTTGTGGGACTGTGTGTGTGCTTACTATTTGTGTCTACAGAATCGAACTACTGTATTTGCTCTTGGAACCTGCGTTTTAACCAATTTCTTTTTCCTCTATTATATCTACTACATATATTTCTCTCTAACACACGTGTGCACACACGCATTCCCAGGAAGCAGTCTGTAGCAGCTGTCTAACTCCCAGGTACCTATTTACTGCTAGGTGAAAAGGCTCATTAGGATGAAAGAAACATTGCCCATTTGCCCACTATCCAAAACCACCCCTAGGTCTCGTTTTTTATTAGTGTTTATAATTCCATTCCACATAATTTGTAAGTTGTGTGTGGTCTATTTTCTCTGAATCCACATTCCATAACGCAGCATTTATCCACATTGAATTCCATATGCCACTTTACGCTCCAAGCACTTTTTTTTTTATCTAGATCAATTTGAAGGGCATTACAATCATCTGTGCCTCCTATCTTCCCCAGTATCTTAGCATCATCTGCAAACATGTTCATGTAATTTTGTATTCCTTCTGGTAGATCATTTATGTAGACGATGAACATTACTGGTGTAAGAACTGAACCCTGTGGTACTCCACTTGTAACACTCCTCTAGTCAGATACATTGTCTCTGATTACTACCCCTCATCTGTCTGTCAGTTAGAAAGTTTTTCATCCATATCAGAAGTATGGTGTGTGTTTGTGTGTGTGAAAAAGTTGGTCCTGCCCACTCTTTAGTAAGATCCGTGGCACCTCCTGGGTGGGTGAACAATGGCAAATTTTTCTTGATAAATGGCAGCTCTATGGTTGCTTGCTGGCACTGAAGTGGACTATAAAGGGACAGACCTCCTATCTCAGACAATGGTGATTAAATGCAAAAGTTAAAATGGCACAGTGAAGTAACAATCTGTACTATAGAGAATATTAGACAATGGGACAACATCCCATTTCCCTGAGCATGGGAGGTGAATAAAGTGCATCCCACATCATGAATGTAGCAATAGCAGTATTAAAGTGCTAAGCTTGTATATCCCGTTACTGCTGGGTGACAACATTGATTCTCATGAGCAACTCCCTATTCAATCAGTAATTTTTATTTATTTATTTATATATACAAGAGTTCTTACAGACAATTAAAACTATCACATTAGGTTTGTTAGACCAAAGCCACCATCATGTGACTTAGGCACTAGCTTAAGAACGTATTAATATCTCATTATTAGTTCTTAAATTTAAATGCATATTTGGGTTCCACAAAGCATTACTTTAGCATTAAAGAAATACAGGTAATGAGCATTTGCTCCTTAAATAAGCTGTCATTGCAATCAATCTTAGCTACCTATGTGCTTTAATATACTGTACCTACAATTTTCTCTCGTCTTTTTTTTTTTCTCTTGCCATGTAACTGTTATCATTTTTTTTTTATAAATTTTGCAAGTATTTACCTATTTAAAATTTTCTTAGATTAAGGACCTGCCCGAAACGCTGCGCGTACTAGTGGCTTTACAAGATTGTAATTACCATATTATGTATCCTCATATTCCCAATGTACCTTCTTGTATATGCATAAATAAATAATTAAATAAATAAATAAATAAATGTTGACTTGCTTGTGTTTGACAGGTTGTGAGTCGGCTGCGTACCTGCCTCGAGGATATCCAGGGACAGTTTCCCCAGTTGCACACTTTAGAGGAGGCAGTTTTGGACCTGGACGACATGTGTAGGGTAAGGCACTGGTACTGTTGTTTGTGGGTTATAGTCGTCTTTGTTTTATAACATTGCACCTAAATTATCATCTCCAAACCCTTGAAGGTAACTGCAATGTTCAGAAATACAGTGAATGTTTGTCAGCATAAAAATTATGCATTGTTTGTATTTTCTGTTTAATAATGTTTGGTGTTAATGTTGTAATTGCATGATTCCAGTGTTTTTCTTTTAACTACAAATCCTGAGTGTTAATTTTTGGTTAGAAGAAATGTGTTTTTCATCAGTGGTAGAATACAGGTATTGTAGTTAATGACAAATATTATTAGTCACCATTTTAGTGATATATTTTTGTTTAACAAATTCCACACCACTGGCGGGCTCGCTCATAATTCCACATCACTGGCGGGCTCGCTCATAATTCCACACCACTGTCGGGCTCGCTCATAATTCCATACCACTGGCGGGCTCGCTCATAATTCCACACCACTGGTGGGCTCGCTCATAATTCCACACCACTGGCGGGCTCGCTCATAATTCCTCACCACTGGCGGGCTCGCTCATAATTCCACACCACTGGCGGGCTCGCTCATAATTCCACACCACTGGCGGGCTCGCTCATAATTCCACACCACTGGCGGGCTCGCTCATTTTTACTGTATTGTTGATAAGGAGATTAATACAGGTCTTTTAGCTGATGTATGTATAAGTGTGCTATGCTGCTTGTGATTTTCAATTTGATTTTCAAGCTAATAATGAACAACCTTTTTAAAGTTTTATATACAAACATTTCACATGAATATGCGTGAGCATTTCCTCTCGTATTAATTCTTTCCTCTGCCTCATTTATTGCCTTCGGTTGTTTTGTCTCTTCATTTCAAGATAAATCTCCTACTGGTTTTCATGTCGTATATTTACTGCCCCTTATCCCTCGTGATTGATCCGTTCCTCGATGTGAACAGCTGATATTGTAATGTATTTTTTTTATTTTTAAATCTTGCTTTTTCTTTGCAGCTTTGTTTGTATCCATTTCTTATAGTGCTACTGTATTACTAATATGCTGTATAATGTGCCAGTATTGACAGACACATGCATTATTATACTTAATGTTTTATTTGTTGCTCCTCTTAGTATCTTGGTAACTTGCATTATTTTTATTATTAATAGGTGTGAAAGTCAGTCTTTGTATTCATAAATGTGAAGAATATTTTGAAATCTATGTAGCTACTGTGAATGTTAGCCATTGGAGCAATGTTGGGCCCATGTTGATAATTTTGGTCCAATATTATAATGTTGATCCAATGTTGCTCCAACACTGTGTACTTGCTGCAAAGTTTTGATCAATCCATCTGAAAGTGTGATGTGTAATTGCACAATTTGAATAGAATCCTGCCTTTAGCCAACAAAATACTTGCACTAGTTAATTTTCAAAATTATTAACCTTTTCGAACATGGCACTCATGCTCTGCATTACAAATTTATACTCATTTTACCCTTTTCTGTTTAGTCATTAGTAATAATAAAGCATATTTGTGTGGTTTAATATTTTTTGGTGTTTATATTGTGATGCATTATATACCACACTGTAGGATGGCTTGCTCAAAGCTTTGTAGTGGAGCATGATACAAACTTCTTTTTTAATTCCTAAATACTCGTGTGAACTGACAATAGGTTTAATTTTTTATCATCAGTCATCACACAGCATGCTTGATATACTTAACTTACAAGAATACCTTTGCTTTGTTTGGATTATTGTACTCATCACACCCGGATTGATTTACTTGACCTCGAAGCTGTTCTAGTGATGTCTCTTAATCCACTGTCATTTGAGTACAGTATCTTCAGTGTTCACTTGCACCAGTTCCTCCTCACCTCCACATTATGTAACTGTCTTTGTCATTGTTATGTGCTGTCTTCTGTGCATCATTTGTACTTTTAACTGTGCAGTTGTAGTGCAATAATAAGTAACTGAATATAATTAAGAGTTCAAATGTTGTTCACGACCTGCTAACTCTTGCTTGGCTTCACTGACGGCATTTATAAATGACTTTAAAAGATTGATGCTGCTGGCTTTTTCAAATGACTGCTTTCAACTCTTGGTGGAATCTTGAAACTTTAAAGCTTTGTTGTCTGCTTTCTTTTATCCCTCAATAGTGATCATTGACAAGTTAAGCTGTTGATTATGACCAGTGTCAGGTCAGTCTATCGCTTGTCAGTTTGACACATTAAACCATTGCAAGAAAAAGGGAGCAGTGTTGAACATCCATATCTGCAATATCATCCAGAATATTATATTGCTAAAAATCTTGCCCATCAGTTTGATGCTTGATCAACCTATTTGCTGACAAGTCCGTCTTGGACTCCTTGTCTTCTTATAATAAAATCCTTCATGGTTATGGCTGCAATATTTGTAAATCTTAGGAGTTATTCTAATAGTTAAATTGGTTTATTGACTGTTTAATCTGTCATGAATTTAGTGTCCAAGTTCTTCCTTTATCTTATAAGTTATAGTTAATTTGTTTTGCTCTTTGATATAAACTTGGTTGAACTCTTGATTTGAGGGGGGCGGTATTAGAGTAAATGGACAATATGGTGGCTATTGAAAGTAAATTGAAAAATAACGGGTGCGATGTAGTGGATGTTGTGTGTTGCATTTGGTAGAGCCAATAATAGGATAAGCGACGACTAGGACACCCTTGGCTAGGGTAACCTATTCCTATCAGTGGTGAACCAGTATGACACAAAACTCATTCCCCTCTCATTTGGGCTTACTCAGCTTTGAAGGGGGCAATCTTTTAACCTACTGCCTAATGGTCATGGAATCAGTTGAGTACTGGTATGATATGGAGTGACATGGAGGAAATTCACTGCCTTATTATAGATTTGGATAGATTATGGTACGTATGTTGCTCAGCCTCTCTGGCCACACCATGACTGGACATATTTGTGTGCTGGAGAAAATATTCACTTTATCCAATTATGGAAAATTTGCAGCTCTGCATTCCCTACATGTGTGATGAAACGACCTGCTAAGTGGTCTCTGGTCGCCATATATGAATGGCATGATAATGCCTATTTACATGAAAGATCTCTCATATCTTGAAAGCAGTTTTCTTGTTAACTTGTATAGAGAACATTCTGTTTAGAAGATACAATATATTTATATAAATATACAATTTCCATACATATTCTAAATTCTGCTTAAAATCCATAAACATTTATATTATTTTTGTCAGTGCAAACCCAATATTCTGCTTTCTGTAAACACAGCTTGGCACATTTTAGTAAAAAAAAAACACTTGTGACACTCGTTTATCCAAAAATTTTGCACAGTTCTTTCTCTGGTTGTGAACAAGTCAAAGAACTTAATTCACTATTTCTGCCTCCTATTTCTCTCTTCCCAGTATCTCACCAGTAACTTCATCACTTCTTGGGGTTAGTTTAGTTCCTATTTAAAAAAGCCTAAATATTGCAGAACTGCTGCAGTAGAAGAGACAGCAATGCCTCAGAGATCAGCCTCTTGGTTGAGTCAGCACTAGAATGCTTTGATTTCCTCAGTGCAGAGTATGATGATGATTTTGATGATAATCCCGATGTGAGTATAATGAATAAGATTCATCTTGTAGTATCATAACAAGTATAGACTCACTATTAATGATGTGTTCCACCTTCAGCAGGGTTGGTACATGCAGTTGCTTCTGTGAGCATATCAGTTTACACACGTCTCCTTTAATAACCAATGCGCTTGACTCTAAAGCTTACTGTATTACCCATTTTCACCGTTCTAATGTTTACTGGCCAGGTGAAGAAAATCCATCACCAAATCCCACTTACAAACACACCTAAATTTGATTTAATGAAGCTTATTAACATTCATAATAACTAGGCATGTCTTTTTTGTGAGGGGATCCTGCAATGGCTCTTGGAGCTGATCTCTGGTACCACCAAGACTTAGTCCTACACACCAGGCCTACGGGATTCATTGGTTACCATTCGCAAGTTAGAATCAGAATGTGGCTCTCACTGTATGAGCAGAGGGGAACAGGGAATTGGAAATTTACCACAAAACTAAGGTGCAACAAAACAAATGCCTATTTGAAGGAAATTAGGCACCCCTAAGTAAACAATGGAGACAGTCATTGTTGTGGAGTAAATCCTGTAACTGATGCACCTGACTGCCACCAGAAGGCAGCCCAGATCACCTGATGCATCAGTCTGCTCCCTCAATGTTATGCCTAGTGTCATCAGCCAAGCACTCGAGTGTCTGTTCGGTCCATCAACTGCTTCTCGCTTTTAGCTGACTGGTGTTATCTGCTCATGGACCACTGTTCTGCTTTTGCTTGTTTTCTTTCTTTCATGATTGTGTTTGCACCATCCATATCGTATTCATTCCTAGCATTCCATTTGGCTCTGACCATGGCTAGGGTTTTCTTCATTCTTTCCTTGGGGTCAGTTTACGTTTTGCTATACCCCAACAATTGTAAGATTCCCCTCCTCTGTGAATAGTCCTCAAGAGTCATCCTGCTTCGGGTAATTCATGAGATTGTCTCTTGTGCAGTACTTGCTGATGGAGAGGAGATAGTCTTCTCAACATAGAACAAAAATAAACTTGAGACTTTTTTGACTTGTGTGATTGTACGTATTTAGACCTGCCCTTTGTGCTGGTCCTTTTATTTTGGTTGTTAGAAACCTTGCATTTTAACTGATGGTGCACTTGGATAGTGTGTGTGATTTTCAAGATCCATAGCTTCTTATGTCTTCTCTGATGGATTACTCGAGGTTTGAGCTCAGTTTCCTCATCTGTATTTGACCCTGCTGTTTGCAGTTTTCCAGGATGTACTTTTGTGTTCAACGGTCTTTACTGTTGTTAACATGTGGCCTGTTGGGTCCTGGGGGGGGGAGGGTCCATTTCACCTATGGGTGTGTGTGTGCCTTTGGTTTGCACTAGACCTTGGTTTAGCAGTCGTCCTCTTAAGCAGTTGCCTCTTGGGCAGCAGCCAGTTTGCAGGTCAAGCTTGATGCAGTATATGTCGATTTCTACTTCTTCTTTCCTGAATTAGTTCACAAATATCTAGTCTTTGACATTTATATCTCATGTCAGTTAGGTTCCATTGCCATTTATTTTGCAGCTTTTGGATGGCCACTCCAACCAGCCTTGGTTTGCTCAGTATTTCATTCTCCTTCATTAGTTTAGGTTGCTTGGCTGTTTCAAAGTGTGGGTCTGCTGGTACCATACTTTTCTCATCAGCATTTGCCAATTGTTCATTTGTCTGTCAGCCACCCCACTATTTCAGCATGGAAATTGCATTCCATGCTTTTCACATCAGTTTGTTTGCATTACACATTTCTTACTACTTCTCACATGTGCTGCATTTTCATTATCTAAATACCAGCTGTGCATTGAGATATATTTGAGTAAATGTGTTTCTGGGGAAGACTGCAGTTTTGCCAAGCTTGGCCTAAGGTTTTGGAGTTACTGTCTCAGATGGCTGTGTAGCTGGTAGAGGGCGTGTCAGGGGCTGCCCATTCTGGGAATGTCACTGAGGCTAAAGGGCCTAGTCTCCCTGCTTTATATCCCTTGTCTTTTGGGATGAGCCATGCATTTTACTTCCTGGGGTTCCATAGCTTTTCTAGTTAATGCCCTGTCTGTTCCTTATGTATAGGCTTCGTTCTCCAAGCAGGATATAGGCTCCATTTCTGAAAGGTCACAGGCCATTGGGGTATATGGGGCAGGGGGCATGGTTGCTCTTTGACCCTCATCTGTGTTTAGTTGCCAACTCAGATGAGTTCTTGCTCAGCTGGGACAGGTTCTCATATATCGCGTCCTAATATTAGCTGGACACCATCCCATCTCTCTGTGGGTGGATTTCTGAGTCCCTGTTAGTGGTCTGATCCTGCCCTCAGTGTATGTAGGTTTCTGTTGTCTGATCTTCCATTGTGTGATTTGCTCAAGTATTGCTGGGAAATTGGATATGCATGTCTGAATTGGGTCCATCCTCTCTTGAGTACAGATACATTTACACTTCCTTGCTACTGTTGTGTGAGATCCCAGTTTCATCCTGACTGGCAGACACTGTTTAGCTTTCTTTGGGCAGGTGGTGGCTTTGCTGTTGTCATTAGCAGGTGTTTAACTGATAGGAGACTGCCCCTGTTTTTCAGGTCTTTTCCAGGGGACCATCTCCATGTTTACAACAGTACCCTGTTTGCTCATGCTCTGCTCTGTGTATTGGGGCTTGGTACCCCATGTTTACTTTCAGCATTGGGGAAGTGGACCACAGGGCTTGCCTCCTCTTTCTAGGGGTTCTCTATTATTGAGCAGTGTTGGGTGTCTTCCCAAAATGCTTCTGGATGGGTTTCTCTTCTTTTTCTGGGCTTTCCTCGTTTTCTACCGTTTATGCTGTTGCAACCACATTTCCTGTTCCCATGTCGTTAGCACAGCTCCTGTGGGTTGTGGTCGTGGGCACACTTGTAGCTCTCCATGCTTGTTAGCTTTCTCTTTTGATTTCTCTTCACGAGTCCACTTGGAGGTTTTCCCTCTTGTTTATTACACTCTTTCTTCTCCTCAACAAGGTGTTTATATTTGCTTCACTACCGGTTTTGGCTGCAATCTGCTGCTTTGGAACACTCTAGTGTTTGTGCTTTTTGGACTCCTAGTTGAGTTAGGTTGGTTTCTGATCCCTTGCTTCTATTAGGTCAGTCAGATAGTGGTCTTGGCTCCCAGTATATGATAGATGGGTCTCAGAGGCCTGGTGTGTTCAGGTAAGGCTACCAGAGTTAGTCAGGGACTTGCCAGAAAAGGGCATTTCATTACATTCAATGCTTTACTATTTCAACTTGATTTTGCTATATTTGCTTCTCATTCGATTTTTGCTCGTTTACTTTGCATTTGTTCACATTTTGTGTACAAATACTAAATACACGTTTTTAGGAAGTCATCAAATTTTGTTTACAGTAATTTTTGTAATTTATATGAATTATTAAATTTGTGTGGGCATAGATTGCATTACACAAATTTGTCAATGTTTATTTTTAACATTTGTGTATTACTGATTATGAACATAATTTCAGCATCCCACTTGACAAAAATATACATAAATATCCATGCTCAAGTATTATGGATAGCACCCTAGGAGGGAGTATCCAGGGCTGGCTTAATGCATCCACAACTCTGATAGTTGCTCAGGGCACCAAGTACTAATTCAAATTCAAATTTTTATTAAAGTAAAAGTACATACACAGAAGATGAGTTACGAACATAATGTATGTACTAGCTCTATCTATAAATCCAATACCTAAAGTCACTAACACACATAGCGTTTCGGACAAACTAGAGGGTGTCCTGTTGTCTGAAATCATCCAAATAATGAGTAAACATTTGTTAAAATAAATAGAAAAGTATTAGTGAGCACTTGTAGGCTCATAGACTATATTATCAGTTAAATAATAAGAACCTGTACATGTTTTTGTCAATGTCTTGGAAACGTATCAGTAAATTGGGTTAGTTATTTTAATTTACAATATTACTATTATTACTCATCATAGATGTGGTTATGGCAACTGTTTTGAGTTTGTAATGTAAATCCAGTATAATATGTCTGGGTCACCAATAGTATCCTAGGGTGTACCAATGTTAGAGAGATGCAGTACCCTAGGGTGTTCCCATGTGTACTAACTAGGCTCTTACAGGGAACCTGCATTCGCTCCTTGCACTTGCAATAGCCCACATTGAGTCACCCAGAGAGCTAACACCACCACCACCGACACGCCAGTGGCTGAGATAATAAGAGTAATAATCCCTTCCTCTAGGATATTATAATCTTGGGTTAGGTTGTCCTGCCCATACAAAAATTTCCTAGAGGGCATAGAATGCTATAGGTTATTACATCAATAATAGTAATGCAAGGCTTCAAAGCAGCTCCTGACACCATCTCAAGCTCTACCCCTTGAAATGGTATCAAGAATCATTAAGTGAATAAGGGCATAAGAATATAGCATGTCATATGTGAGAGTAGTATGGGGGGGGGAAAGGTTTAATTGAAAACGTGCTAAACTGAACACTAATTTATTAAAATAAATTAACACCATTACACACGAGTTCTTTACATTAATAGAGTATATCACTGCCACAGAAGTTAAGCAATGAGCATTTCCCAGCCGGATGGTATCCCACAGGGTCAGAATATTTAAAAACCTACAGTCTTTATTAGCCACTTGCAAGTCAACAGAGTGAACTAACTTTTTAGTTAGTTCATTGTGATAACGCTTTGGCGTTGACAAATAAAAGGCTATTCGACTAGTATACAGTTGTACACTTTAAACAATTTTGTTAGGTGAAATGCATGCATTGCTCAGCAATATCATCTTAACACTGAAATATATACAAAGTGTACACAACAAAGATACATCAATTTCTGTAAAAGATAGCACAATAACAAATAACCACATACACAATGTAATCATTGTTATGCAACTGGTCCACTGACCATGTACTGAGTACGTAGAAAATACACAATAAACAAAGTACCAACGAGTCGCACACTCCCTTCAATGTGAAATAATTGTGACATGGACAGTAATAACAAGACACTGAACATTTCAGTCACAAATGACCCTAAATATGTGTGATCCTAATGATAAGATAACACAGCTGACTGGACGTTACCACACAGGCTAACAGCCCATCAGGAGCAAGACCTCATCTCGGTTATATAGACTTCTATTTGTTGCAGACATAAGATAGTCTTAATCAAACCAGATTGCCGATTCCAGGGAAATCAACATCAGTTAATCAACAATAAGCGATAATTTAACACTTTTGTATGGCCAGGCTTACTCACTCGCTCACATGTTCCACACTGTTAATGAGACACTATGATCTGGTGACAATGTTGACTCGGCGATGGGTCCTTACCTCGCAGATGCCGCACGTTGCTAATTTGTGCAGGCAGAATGGATGTGTGAGACACTGGCCTAATGACTGTGACGATCATTAAAGCAATGATCTGAGCAATGGTTTCTTTGCTTAGTTCCTTGGTAGGTGCCATAATAACAATATAATACCAACAACACCACTGTTAACTGTGCTACAACACACAAAGGTGCCAGAGCAAGATGCGCAACATAACCGCTCACTATGAATGCCCAGGGACAACTAAGCATCCCAGCTGTGTGACTCCAGGAAGGTAGTGCACACTGTGTCATGTGCTCAATGCATACTTTTGTTTACAATCTTTCACCCACAAGGCCATCATTCTTTATTTTTTTGCCATAAGTATGTGCTGCCTTGAGCAGGGCAGTGCATGCTTTTGACAAGTACTGTACAGTACTTTGGTTAACTTTTCTCACATCTTGTAAATCTATATATGCATGTTATAATTGACCCCAGTAATAAGACTTGGACAGAAAATCTTAATTCTTTCAATGATTTTTTACTTTGATTAAAACAATAGATAGTTTTAATTTATATAACATTTGCAAGTCATCGTTTAGCTTTCCTTTGTGTTTTGTCTTAGTCTGTGTCTAATCTCTTGGCTTATGGTAGATGTGTCCTCTCAGTCCTATCATTGTAAGTCATGTAAACTGATGTGCTTTTTTGTTAAGAAAATGTCGACATTTTCTTCCAATAATTTTCAGATTATTGTTACATTGTTCTGTAGTGTGGCATGCATGCATGCACTTCTCCACTATTCACCACTATTGCTAAAGTCATTGTATGCACACAATTCTTTGAATATATTTACCTCAGTGTTTCAGTTTACATTTCCTCAGCCTGGGATCTTTAGAGCATCTTGAGAAACCCAAAAACATATTTTACAGAACTGCCGCAGTAGAAGAGACAGCAATACCTCGGAAATTAGCCTTTCAGTTGAGTCGGCATTGGAATGCTTCGATTTCCTCAACGCAGAATGTGATGATGATTTTGATGATGACAATCCTGCTGTGAGTATCAGATCTCTGATTTAGTTTTCAATTCAAAATTTGCTTGTTGAATCAATGTGGGCAATTGTAAAAAGTATGTGTAACCTTATTGATAAAGTCATAAGAAAGGACTGGACCTGGGTTAGCTGTGGAAGTAGAACAATTACTGATACTGAAACCAAAAAGAAACCAGAAACCATATCTATGCCTTCAAGCATGGATATGCTTGCTCTTGAGCTTGCAGTAGTGAAAGGGAAAGCAGTTGCTTGAAGTTTAGCCTCTTAGTGGCCAAAATAGAAACCTTAGTCCATCCGAAACAGGGGGACAACAGATGGTAACCTCGCTGGCAAATTAGAGTACCCAGTGCATGGATGTTGTGATATATTAATCTGGCTGATAAAGATGTTATTTTGCTCATTTGTCATACATGTCCCCAACTTAAAGTATAAGTACAATACTATAATTTAATGCACTGTAGTATTAGGTCCATAGTAGTTATGCAAGTCTGATATCCTTATTGTTGAAATCATAAAATGTTCACATTATATTGAGCATCATTATAGCAACCCAAAATCTAGCACCCTAGCAAGGGAAAAGTAGAAAGAACACTAGCTACTATAGGTAGACTAAAGCCCTACTCGTATCTTGGGATGACAGGAGAGTATTGAAAGTCATTGGTGGGTGCAAATAAGCCCAAAATTATTGTGGCCAGTATACACACGTTACCATTATCACGGGTGAGCAGAGGCTGGTTACTAGACAACCAGCAGGGCATGGAATGCATGGCTCACTGTGAGAAGGCTCAACTATGCACCCTATTGCTGGAGCCTGAAACATGTACTAGCTACACCAGTCAGTGAGGGCTGGGCCCAGTAACACACTGAGGTACCTATTGCAACAGGGCTCAGAGATACACAACTTGTGCCTTTTTTTGTGCAAATACCTAGGTCTTCCATTGAACCTTGTCAGTCTCTGGTGGTCCAGGGGTAACACCTCGCCACACGCTTTGTGAGCAATTTGGCCCTGGTTCGTATCCTGGCTAGGGAGGAGTGACTAGGCGCCAATCTTTAATTAACTGTATGCCTCTGCTCATGTGATAGGGTACCTGAATGTTAATGATTGGCAGGTCATATTCCAGAGAAACTAGTGGGTAAGGCTTACCATGAGTTATGGGAAGGGAAAGTTATCAGCCTGCTAGCAGGAGTCGGCAGTCATTATACCACCTGTGTAGAAAAAACAAAAACGAAGGAATTTTGGAAAAACTGGGAAAAAAAAGCAAAAAATCGGGTTGATATAAACCCAAGGAAGGAAGGATTGATTGATTGATTTTTTATTCATGAATGCATAATCTTTATAAATTTTTCATTATAACCTGACAGTAACGGTCTTTGGTCTGTGAATTACATGTAACATACAGTATAAAATTTGAAATGGTCAAAACATATTGTAGTTTAAAATAGGAAATTCATGTAGTGAATATTTAATTATTTTAAATGATGGCTCTGGGGGAAAGCTTTCCATCTGGCCGTATGCAGCGGCGTGCTGCTGCTATTGATGTATGTTGGAGTATAACTGTTTTAGTTGTACTGTATTATGCTTCAGTATGCAGTGTGGAACATTTTGCATATTAATGGGGTATTTTTAATCTTCCTTTCCTAGCACATTTGCCCTAATACTACTACTGCTCTATCCCATGAAAATTAGAAATTTAGGTAATGATTATGATAATTATTTGTGATAAGCAAGTACTTGAGCATGAAATTCTGTAAACAGGCTTGTGAAGAGAAGAAGAGCAAGGAAGCCGCAGCGGTGCTGGCGGCTTCAACTCTTCCCGACACCACGCAGCCGCTCATCACCAGCACACCACAGCTTGATCTTTTCCTCTATACCCATCTGAAACATGCCCTTCAACTCCTGCAGGTTGGTGTTCATATATGATAATTATTACCAGTACTTTTTGTTGCATAAAATGTACATATGTATTATAAGAGGGTATGGTAGTGCCTCAGACCAAGTTCATTCCATCCAATGGTCAACCCCAAAGATGCATTCATAACCTTTAACATTTTGTTCATTCAAAACAGGAATTTTCTCATATAAATTAGTATATATTAGCATACTGTGCATAGTTAGGCATTTGTTAGGTTAGGGGTTTAAGTTCTGTTGGTGATTATTTGTAGTATTTGGGTGAAGCACTTAGTGTTGTAGTTCAAACAAAAGTCGTCAGTGAAGTACTTGTTCCAGAAGTGTTGGGAAGTCATCAGTTGTGTGTCGTGTGTAAACTGTTTTACATTCATAATCAGCGGATTTCTCGGGTGCATAGAATGGCCTTTATTTATGAGGATGGGCCGGGTAGCGGCATAGTGGTTATCTTGGATTCCAAATCTTAATATCGCTGAATACTGTTCTGCAGTCAAATTATAATTCAATCTGAGCCAGGCTTTTGAATAATTCAGGCTGAGCCAGGCATAGTGGGGATATAGTTATATCCCCACTAGCTTGTGAAAAATGAACTCATTCACAAATACCCTGACAAATGAGAGATACTTATAATTACCTTTCTCACTTGGTCTATGATTGTGACTCAAGATTCATTTATGGCTTTACTTGTAAATACTGTTCCGGCTCTTGCACCGTGCCAATTCCTGCACCGAGAGGGATTAGTTAATCTTGCTAGAGACATAGTTGAAAAACGGCTGGCTTTCATTCAACAAGTCTTTATAAAGAGTGCAGTACATGTAATATTACAAGGATGACTTACAATGTACATTTAAAAGTTTTGTGGTCTTCATGAAGCTCTAATTAGACTTGGTATTTTGAACAAGTCTTATGCTCGGAGAAGAAAAGGGAAGGTACATTAGTAATATAAATGAATTGTGTAAATGAGGTTAGGTTTCATTTATAATAAATAAGTTTGGTTAGGGTTAGCAAAACATTGGCAGCATACTTGTCATTTTTCAATCTCTCAATTTGTTTTTCTGTATTTAAATAATACAGCAATGGATAAAGCATTTAGGACTAAGGTTATCACTTTGGTAGTTGTATAATCAATCTTATTCAATATGTATATATTTCTGTACCGGTAGATATTGTGTTATGATTTAATTGCCTTCAAATAAAATTATTCTTCAGACTTAATAATGATAATGACAATTTGAGTTTTGAAAAATTGGTAAATATTTTGCTACAAGACATTTAATTTTTAATAATTTAGCATATATTTTAATAGCACAGTGATTTGTAATTGTTTTAAATGCAATACACACAGCATCTTGGGACATTTGGGCCTCTGAGAAGTAGGGAACGTCATTCTCTCAAGCTACTGGAGGAAGAGGGACGTCTGGTGGCTGGTATCCTGGCCCATAGGCATAACTTCGACAGTCTAAAGCCTCAGCATATAATTACCGTTCCTCATGTACAGGTTAGTCTGGATGACAGTTGTCTCATTCTAATGAGGGCATATTACCTTAGTACAAGATTAAGGTAATACTGTAATGTGTTTGTGGTAGATACTAAAAGGGAATGAGATGGGTAATCTCCTTTGACATCTCTATGGCTTACCGAGTTCACTTCTATCTCCTTATTGTAGTCCCACCCCTTGTCCCCCCCTTCATCCTGGTCCCAACCCTTGTTCCCCTTGTTCTGGTCTCACCCCCTGTCTCCCTCAGTCTTGTTCCCTCATCCTGATCTCATCTCCTGTGGTCTTGTCCTATGTTTTCCCCTTGGCTATTGTTAGGCATATTACCATTTCCATTATCCTCTTACCCTTTATTGTTACCATGCACATGATGGAATTTTGTTACCCGATCACCTCTGCCGCAGGTATTTCCTCAAAATTCAGTATTTCTCTAACAGCAGTGCCATTTCCCCTCCACCATTGTTGCTTTCTCTCCTTTCTTGGCTATGTAGACTGCATCCCCAAATATTTCTAAGCTTAATTTCTGATATTGCAGTAACATGTGGCTACTGTATCCTCTGCTGAAGTTTTCCTCACTTATTCATATTACCATTGCATTTATGTACATTATGTATGTGCTGCTCAACATTAGTAGGTGCTGTCTTTGTGGTGAGATTAGCATGGTCTGGAGTATGGCAGATGTGGTATTAGACATACTGTACCTATTCACTGTGTTGAGAAATTCTTTCTCTTATTTCAGCACTCCAGCTCCAGTATTTTCCGTTTTAGCCACTATATTTTCTTTAATCACTCTCCATTGTGCTAATGATGCCCATTAATATTTCCATTTTCCTTTAAAGTTCCACAATCTTTTTGAGAGTTCACATTTACTAGGGACATCATTTTGTCCATCCACTCTTTTTAACAATTTTCCCTTCACTTAACTTTCTTTTACCATAGATGGACTCCTTTTGCTTTGCTAACATTGCTTTTGGATTTGTCTCTAGCTCCTCCACCCTGTCCCATACTTAGCAGTGTTTTCTTTTAGAAAAGTTGTATAAAGGAGAAACTATGTTAACATATTCCACAGCTCTCCATCCCTGTCAGTGCACTTGCTGTCTCTTGTGGCTTCCCTTCTTCCACACTCTTGTTTCTTAATTCATTCCTCTTCTCGTCAGATCCCTGTGGGATTGGCATTGTGATATATTTTTTTCACATTCTCTAGCCCTGTTAGATATCTTTTTACCTTTGTCTAGTTTTTTCATATTTTTGTTTGTTCCACAAGCAATAGTGAACCAGACACTAACTAGGGATTAACAGAGCACAATCTTGCATACCTCTCTCAAAGCATCCAGGTAGGTGATGGGAGTTCCAGCAGTGTTGATGTACATTTGTCCCTCCTGCTATTGCCCGATGTCTTCTGTTGCTTGGTGTATTTTGCTTTCTCCCACTGCTTATTGTAACCTTTATATGCTTTCACATAAGGGAGGATTAGCTCTTGGTCTAGTCATAGTTTTGTATAGCTGTATTTACTTTCAAATATTTGGAATATAATTGGCCTTAACCACCTATTTCTTCAGTTCAATACCTGTATGTATGTTCCCAGGTGTCATCATTTTGTTTACACATTACTGGATTATTGGTGCAGGCAAGTAGTAACTGCTTTATCTTAACATCAGTCAAACAAGCATGTAGAATTCCTTGCTAACTACTATGCATGTTCTTTAATGCTTGAAGGCATTTAATGAAATATCTATGGAATACACTATATGGAGCCATCCATCAAGATTGGAATTTACCACTTGGATCAACATATCAAGGACAGAAGGAGGCTAGATGTGAATGTGAATTGCATTATAAATAACTCATCTTCCTGCAGTTGTGAGAAATACTATTATTGCACTCAATATATGAATTATTGAAGTTTAAAAGCTATATAACATAAAGGTGAAAAAAAAATTGTAAGTTACATTTTTTTGTTATTCTTTAAGGTACTGTGGGATTCGGTTGCTGGTGGCGACGACTGGTGCGTTCCAGGTCTGGCTGTGGTGAATGGTCTCCTACAAGTGGTGTCATCGCTGGTAGATCCAGCTCTTCCAGGCTTAGCAAAAAGAGGTATAGTTCATATATTATTTTGGTTGGAAATGGAAACAAAATTTTGCAAATTTGGAATAAAACTTTGGCAATAAAACTATGAAGAAAAAGGGTGACGGTGTTATCACTGGACATAAGGGTGATAAAGGAAAAGGGAAGTAAAACAAACCACTGTCTGGTTAACTTGTGCAATCTACATCCAAAAAGATCAAAATAACTTCCTTAGAGAGAAGAACAAACAAGCAACCCTTCACCTGTGACTAGCACTTCTGCTTGTTAGTGTTAGCTCCACCACCTCCCATAGGGGGAAGGGGGACCCCGGCTCATCAGTTGTTGAACGATGAAAACCCTCAGACTGGAGGGAGGGTGTCAGGGAGCTTCCGGTGCTCCTCCAGAAAATGGCATTTAATTACATTCAATGCTAGTTTTCTGTGGGGATCCCCGTCGGCTCCTTGAAGCTAACTACCCAAAGATAAGTAAGAGGAGGAACTTGCCCGGGAGGCAGCAGCATCGCAGGTCTCAAGATGAGAGACAGATGGCCGCGACAGGCCTCTCAAAGCCACACACGACTGGGAAGGAACCGGAACGTTTACTAAATACTTGTGCAACAGCTTCAGCAAGGCTGACGACACCTCAGGAGCTGAAGCCAGAATCCCAGCTGAAGGCAGCTCCAGAAGACCGAGGCCAAATGACAGCAAGTCTGCAGGTCCTCAGCTGTCAAGGCAGAGGGGAACGGGGGCAGAGGAGAAAAAGGGGCAGTCAGCCAGCCAGGGAAGACTCTGGACCCTCATAATGCACCCAATATGGGGAGGAAGAACTGAACTGAACTAAACTGAAGCTGGATTCAGCACAGGGATCAGTTTACCTGGATCCATCACAGATAAACTGGGTCTCGCAGGAGGTATGTGCCAAGAGCATCCCAAACCTTCCCGAGGGAAATCTGAGAGGAAGGAAACCTCTGAAAGGACAAATCCAAGGAACCCAAAAGCACCTGGAAACAAACCTGGGGGTGGGTACAAAACCCCCCTAATGTGGAGCAACAACCTCCCTGCCTAGAAGGCACAAGGGCTCAAGCAGACTCTTCCCCTAGATACGCGTGACTAATATGTGCACTATATTTTCCAGCATATCAATGTTTCATATATTTGATTATATAAATTTCTCAAATTACACACTTGAATAATAATAATACAGCAAAAAACCTGAGAAAAACCAATGAGACATTGAAATAATTCTAAATAATTATACAGTATTCACGGCAATTGCCGCCACAGGGGATCGCTGGGGCTAGGGTCTCCGTGTGCCTACTCACTCAGCACCCATAAATTGCTCAGCTTCTCTGCTCGATCATGGCTAAAGTACCTGTATGTCACATGCAATTTTTTTTTTTATATATAACTTTTCCCTGATCAGGGAACTTTACTACTACCTTTAAACTTTAAACTACCAGAAAGGGAAAAAAAAAGTTTGGAAATAATGTTTTTCTTGCACACCACAGGGTCTCATGTGAAGGGTGCATAGTACTGTATTGGGGTTAAACTCTTTGTATTGTATTTGTGTGTTATATTTGACTAACTTGCAATGTGGTTTGTATATACAGATGCATAAGAACTTGCAATATATTTAAGAATGTATCTTGTATATATTTTATATTTATATTTTTCTGAAATTCTAGTGCTGGAAGAAATAGTACGCACAATGACCGACAGTGAAGACTACGATGGAACGCTGATGGTGACGGTCGGCCATTTTCTTCATCATTTACATAAACCTCTTCAACAGATCATTCCTACAATAGCTCATAGTTTGACCACTGCAGAGCTTCTACTTTCTGGAAACCCTGCAAAGTGAGTACAGTAGAGTTACTTCACAATCTCACCCAGTTTGTAGTTCTTAGTCACCTAAGTTGATTAGGAGTGATGTAGAGCTAGAAGCAATTAATGCCACTATAAATACTAACTCTATATCTGAGACTATTTGCCTGTCCAAGGTTAGAGGCCAAATGTTGGGACTAGCATTGCCCAGTTTTGCAGGGAAAATGGTCTGGGGTACAGGATGGATATAAACAGAATTGAAGAGAGAACAGCAAGCCAGGGTCACATTCTGAACCTAACTTCCCCTGCCCCCCCCCCACTCCACTCCCCTTCCTGATGATTTTTGACTGCCCATAAATTAAATTTGTTTTCAAAATTGTTAAAATTATTTTTTTTGAACAATACAATGGAATACACCATTATTCAGTGATCCCAGGAAAATTAACAAATTTTCTGCTATTCCTACTTTGGCTATAGTACTGTACCATAATACAGGTGATCTTGGCTGTCCAAGATTGGCCGCTCCTTTCTCAATACTGTAAGATATTTGTTTAATTTTTCACTGCTAGGCTACTCCCACTGGCAGACCACCCACATGCCAGTGGTAGGTTATTATATTATTTTTATAAGACAAAGATAGTCACTGGAAAAACAGACACAGAATGAGACAAAAATAGATTGGCCTGCACAGATACCAGGTTGACCAGAGAGGGGGGGGGGGGAGGGAGGGGGGGGAGGAATTGGGTGAGAAGTGTAAGAGTAAGGGGGGAGGGGGGGGGGAGGAAGGTAAGAAAGAATGTGCGAAGAGTGTGGAAAGGATCCCTGTACACTGCTGGGTAACCCCTTCTCCCAGTAAAGTATTAAGAGCAGCAGGGCAAAGGTTAGAGGAGGCACCAAGCTCAAATGGACTAATTTGGACCAGGACTGTTAGGCTGACAAAGCAGCAAATGTGGATGATGTGTTCAAAATTCAGATATTATTTATTCACAGGAGAGAAGGGAATTGCCACTGGAAATTTTCCAGGAGCCCTAGTACCTTTATAAAATATAGTAGTAGCCAAAAACAGGGTTTCCTCATAGGGGCTTTGACTTGTATGATACTGTAATTAGTTAACATCTGCCAGTGTTTAGGTATGTTTCATGTTTAGCTTAAAATGGCATTTTGTTGTTATCCAATAATAAGGATTAGAGTACAGTATTTAAAAACGTACCTAGCCCCATAAAAATGCAGCTTCATCAGTAATTTTAATGCAAGATATCAATGACAAATTTTGGTTAGGTTTCTTAAGAAGCTCTAAATTCCTTGTGATATATTTTACAAATAAAATACATAGATTTGTAGAATCTACACAGATTCTGCAGCTTCTCCATTAAAAAGTATTTTACTAAATTATCTTATTTGGTACATATATTGTTAATAATGTATACTAAATGAATGGTGTATCTGTTATAGAGTTGAAGCTGGCCTTCATCACATAAAGGAACCCACAGTTCTCCATATAAAGGTTATTGGTCATTTATTAGGAGGCCCATCAGAGTTACGTCACGTCACTACTAGTTTTGTAAATAGCCTGGCGCACAACAACCAACTTATGCATATGGTAGGTACACCATAGCAATAGTAAAGCTGTTATTTAATATTTATGCCACTTTATAATTTTTTTTGCTGTTAATTAAAGTCAGATAACTTAATTCACCTTAATATTTCCAAGGCATAAATACTGAAGTCTATTGTTCATTATTGTATTTTTGTTAATATTTTTATGTTGAAACCATCGAATTGACTTTCATGAAAATTGGAGTAGATTATCTACATAAAGTTGCTCCTAAATATAGCATCCCTGTATCTCAAATAATAATTATATCATGAATTATAAAATTTTGTAAGCATTTTCTTTTCATTTAGGTTTACACTACATGTTTTAAGAAACCCAGCATTGACTAACGAAATGCAAATTTATCTGGTCGCTGAGGCTATCACTGGCAGTGTACTATCTACTAGGTTGCATCAACCAGAGTTTTTGCCTTCCAGGGACCAGTGCCAGAACCTGGTCCCCTCATAGAGGCACAGGGAGTAGTGACATTTATTTATTTATTTATGCAACCACTGGGGAGGGCAACCAGAAAGTTGGAAAAACAAAAGAAACCACTGCTGGATTCAATAGTGACTGCAGCCTCAAGATCCACTGAACAACAAACAAAATCGTTTGTTTACATAGTTGGAGTTCTTTTGGAGGTTTTCAAGGCACTATTGAAGTTAGCAGTTGTTTGTTTTGTCTCGATGACTTTCTGCTCTCCTTTCCTGGTGGTGGATAAATAAATGTCTGCTGGGGAGTTGGTCGGCCGAGCGGACAGCACGCTGGATTTGTGATCCTGTGGTCCTGGGTTCGATCCCAGGCACCGGCGAGAAACTATGGGCAGAGTTTCTTTCACCCTATGCCCCTGTTACCTAGCAGTAAAATAGGTACCTGGGTGTTAGTCAGCTGTCACAGGCTGCTTCCTGGGGGTGGAGGCCTGGTCGAGGACCGGGCCGCGGGGACACTAAAGCCCCGAAATCATCTCAAGATAACCTCAAGATATAACCTCCCTGTGCCTCTGTGCGGTGGGGATTGGGTTCTGGTGCTGGTCCCCAGGAGACCAATAGAACTACAGTATACAGCTCATATGACCTAGTAGATGATACACTATTAGTGATAGTAGTTTCAGGGAGCTACAAGGGGCTCCAAAGAAAAAATGGTCATCCATGTATTTCACGTTGATATGTCATCTCTTACAGATTATAAAATATATAATTTATATTTTGTTCCTAGATTGTTGAACTGTGTCTACTGCTGCTGGAATCTAATCGTACAAGTGACCGAGAAGCTGCTTGTATTTTATTGGGCGTGTTGGCTCCCATTGTTCCCGTTAATACAGAGAATAAAGCAGATTCCCAAAAACCAGCACTTGGTAAAAGCTCAAACAAAACAAAGAAACATTCCACAGCTCAAGAAGGAACACCTGAATGGCCTAGACCTATAGAAGTCCTTTCCTACCTTCAACAAAATGACACTAGTGGAGAAGTTCGGGAAGCTGCTAGACGTTCATTATTGAATCTTGGTGCCGAGGGTCATACGGCACTACATCAAGTCCAGCTTTCATCTCATGGATTTCAGGGAGTAGAAATGAAAGAAAGAACAAAACTGTAGGGGATATTGGAAAAAAAAGAAATTTGATTATTGACTGGGGTGGGATGGCATGGAATGTCGTGTAAATGAATACAGTACAGTAATACCAAACTGGAAATATTTTAAAAGACCATTATTTATTTACCAAATTCAAGACAAAATTTCAGTTTCATAATTTTTAAAGCAAAGTAATTAAACATTTGATGTTTTAGTGTAACTTTGCTTATTTTCTTACTTGAATTACTTCACCGCATCATAGACTGTCTTCAGTGTGCTGTAATTTACCAATTCCTGATATTATGGAGGATGTTATAAAACATTGATTTGCATAACAGATCAATAAATTGTAGCCATATCAGCAAATATACACCCATACCCCTCTCATCCAGGTTTTAAAAGGAGAGACTCGTGTCTTCACTAAGCAGCGTATTCTTGGTTCTCTCTCTAGATATTGATATTGCTGGATAGTGTTAAACATACTGGAACTCATAACATCAGTTATGTCTGACATCAAAATAAAGTTAAATAAGTTATACCCAGAACACACACTTTTAATGAGAATCTTACCATAGATTAAAGCAGGATAAATAAATATAGAAAAAATTCTTAATTTTGAGTAGTTAAGCTTGAATGATGGAGCAATGGGTGTATTTATGCTCAAAGTGCACTTTTAACGCGTGTGCACATGCTCAACACGCATGCTTGTGAACACACATGTTGAACACATACATACTACAGAGTACATGCTTATGATTTGCAAGCATGTGTAGAGTCTCAACATGTGCTCCCTGGCATGTGTGTAATCAACATATACATGTCGGAAAGTGTGTGTGTGTGTGTGCACTCAATAATATCTTCATACCAGTGAGTTAATGCACCTCATCCCAGTACATAATCTTCTTGGTGTTATCAAGGTGTATCGTGGATCATATACTCCATGCCATTTTGTATAGTGCATGTGTAAATCTGGCTATATCATTTATCAAGTTTTTATATGCAAATTATAATTTCAGCCTTGTCTAGTCCTAAAATGTATAAATACATTTATCTAATTTTAAATACTTTATTGAACTTGCTTATGAAGTCTCTGATCAACTGAAATTGTCTATTCATTACTGAACTTGTGATACATAAAGAGACATGTTAGACTATTAAAATTTATACTTTAAAAAATTAGAAAAAAAAAAACTTATAAAATCTCGCCTTCACCTGATCTATGTTTGTGCTTGCCAAGGTGTCCATAGTTATATATGTTAAACAGCAACCTTTTCTCATTGTACATAATGTATGTTGAATATGTTTGTTCACCTGTAAATTGCTCCCTTGAATATGTGTGGATATAATGTACACAGTCACTTTATCTCTTAAAATAAAGAAATCTATAATATACTTGTTCACTTAAGAAAAGGGGTGCATTGAATGCTCACCCAGTCCTAGTGCCAAGCTTTAATTCATTGTGTCGGGGGACAGGCAGCCAGTGTATACATACAGCATATGTTAGGCTCGTATCGAGACCCCACTCCCCCTGGTCAAATTATTGACCCACCCCAGTATGCCAACCCCACAACAAGCTGACTAACTTCTGGCTACCTATTTACTGCTAGGTGGACAGGGGCATGAGGTGATTGGAAGTGTGCCCAACCATTTCTGTGCTGCCCAGGATTTGAACCCTGGCAAATCGATGCTTTATGCCTTTAATACACAATCTACCCACCTACCTATGTAAAAGACCACTTTATAATGTTGGTAAATTAATAGTACCATGTCAACTGTGCTGCAGGCGGAGCAGAGCACAAAGAAAAGCAAAGCTGACCGGGAATCCCAAACGAAGCTCGCGCAGGTCTGAACCTGGGAGAGAACCATTTCAGCCAGTTTGCTCTGAACTCAAACCTGGCAAGCTGGGAAAGAACCAGATCCCTGGCTAGCCGACACATGGACTGCCTGGGAGCCCAAGCCAGGGATAGCCAGTACTGCACCATATGACTTAAACATTAAGCAGTAATGGGCCAAAAAAGATGGTGGCCCATAGATAAATTCATGAAAATAGACCTAGGTTAGATTTGATTTAGTGTGTGTGTGTATTGGCTACACAATAGTTAAATGTTACTTGTCAGGCACAAATACACATTTTGGCCAAAATGCAAACAGTGTAATTAGGGACGTTGTGAAGACTTAACATTTTTAAATATGTACACACCAGACTGGTCCTAGAACTAAGAGTTATGAGGAAAGGAAAAATTAGTAATTACAGTATTAAAAAAAAAAGCACCAAGCCAGGGGAAACTATGTGGTAACATAAGTGTCACTGGATATTCAAAAGGCACTAAATATCATTGAGAATGCCAATATGAGAACAAAAACACACAAGGCGAACGATATCAAGAGTACCAAATTCAACATGGATTTTGTTGAGGGGCAAATGACCTTGAGGGACATAAGGAATGCTAAATATACAATCGCTATGAAAATTGGAACATTCCACAAGGAGGTGCATGACTAAGTGGGACAATGCAGTTTGGACAATAAGGAACAGGGTGGCATCCCATTAAATGTTCACGAGTTAAGAATGTACGGCCAATGTAAGTAAGTAATTATCAAAAAGAAGGCACCAAACCGGGAAGGCTATGTAGCACCATCAAATGTGCGGGATAATCAGAAGGCGCTAAATATCACCAAGGATGCCAATACGAGAACAGAAACCCATAAGGCGAACGATATCAAAAGTATCCGAGTCCCCAAGAATTCTATCGAAGTAAATCATCAAACCAAATTCAACTTCAGATAGACAATGTTAACATTAGCAATAAAAATGATGGAAAGTTCCTTGGCCTATACACAGACAAGAGACTAAACTTCAGCACCCACATACAACACACAGCCAAGAAAAGTCTAAAAAATATTGGGTATACTTTCTAAAATCAGATACAGTACAGTATTAAGTTCCCCACAATGCTCTATTCTCATTGTACTATAATACTTGCTAATCTATCCCTATCTTTCATAGGGATAGATTAACCCCATACACTATTCATCTGTGTATGAGGTTCAACCACTGCAAATTACTGTACCTCAAGCCCATCACCAATCAAAAATCTGCTATCAGAACTATAATAAACTCTGTCTTCAGACAACACACAGCCCATCTGTTTAAATCCCTAAACATAGAATCACTCCACACATTCTCTTGTGCTATTTACATGTACAAAACCTTGTTCCCAAATGCTTCTCCTAAGCTGAAACTCTTCTTTGATAAATGAATAGAACCCATGCTGAGTACCACACCAGAAATAAATATATCTTTGATATCTCCAGAGTCAAACTAAATCTGTGCAAGTAATTATCAAAAGTGGGCACCAAGCTGGAATGGTTATGTAGCACAATAAAATGTGTGGGATAATCATAGGGTGCAAAATATCAGTAAGGATGCCAATATGAGAACAAAAGCACATAAGGCGAACGATATCAAAGGTATCCGATTCACCAAGGATTCTACCGAGGGATAAGTGACCGTGAAGAACAGTTGGGAAGCAAGACATACGCATGTCCTGGAAGTCAGGACATTCAACAAGGATATGCACAACTGTAATAGTGACAATGCAGTTTGAACAATAAGGAGCAGGGCAGTGCTCCATTAAAGAACTTGCAAAGTTCTGCAGTGTCCTCTCCTAAAATCAAAGTTTTCAACTAATGCATTTTCCCTGATTCTCTTTTAGATTATTATAATTACTGTAAATCTAATTATTATATTTTGTAATTATTATATTAATTATAATTGTAATGTAATTAATTATACAGTATTATAATTAATTACTGTATACAGTATTATAATGAATTATATAATTATAATTGCATATTTTATTTCCAAAAGAACATGGTCCCTCTTACCCAAGGGAACAAGGTACTGAATGTCAAATACAGTACAGGGTATATCTTTTTTATTTTCCTGGTGAATATCAAATTCAGCATTGATGGAACATCCCTTTTCCTAATTCTTATGGCCTGTTCAACATGTTGGAACATGATTTGTCTCCAGGATGAAGTTTAAAAATCTGACAGTTCAAATGTCTTCCGTTCTTGCTCCATAGGACTGTCAGTCAATTCATTTCAAGTTGAAGTCACCAAGTACAGTACAGTATCAACAATCATTATATCTTTATCTGCTCTTAATGCAATCTCTTTCATGATCATCATGAGGCCTATGTCCATGTGTTGCTTGCTGGTGGACTGTAGGCATTTATAATTATAAATTTATCTTCATTACAAATCTCTAGAGCCATTGTGTCAACTTCTTGTGGGTTGTCGATTATTATCCTACCTTTCATGGTGTTCCTTCATCCTAATAGCAAGTCCTCCACCATTTCTAATTTCTGTCCCGTCTCTAAATTGAGTAGCCCAAGGAATACAACCTCATTTAAAATATTATCAAGTTTTGTCTTTGTTAGTGCAACAATCTCTAGCATCTTCAGCTGTATTATGTCATTTAGCTTCAGTATTTTGTTATCTCACTCCTGCTATGTTAGTATGTATGACTTTTAGGAACATGTTTCCACTCCCTTTGTCTTTTACTCCACATTTCCTTTAATGATTTTGTTGTTTTGCTTTTATGTACTGTACCATTTTACAGGCTTTCAGATCCCTATTACAGGGGTACCTCGGTTTAAGAGTTTAATCCGTTCCTGGAGACAGCTCGTAACCCGAAAACTCGTAAACCGAAGCTAATTTTCCCATAAGAAATACAGTACCTAGGATATAAAAAAAAAAAAATTCTTCCTTATTTAGATGTTTTACTTCAGCACAGTTTAGCTGTATCTTTTTTCTCTCTTCATTTGAAAGGACTTATCTTAATGACCCAAATTTTCCATCTCCATCATTTTTCAATTTCCTGGCATTCCTAAGCACTTGTCAATTATTTCCTTCCATTAATGTTACCTTTAGGGTAGAATTGTTATCTTTCTCATATTTGCCTATCCTCCTAAAACCACAAGACATTTTTCTTTTATGTGAGGCCTTCTCCTAAACATACTATTTTCCCAATAATTTTTTTATCTCGTCTGCTGCTCTGTTCACCCTAGATGTTATCTCCTTTTCCAAGCACCCAAAAAGTATTATAGATTTAGTTCTAACATCATTCGTCTAACATCAACATTCGTTTTGCCCGAATGCTATGCGTACTAGTGGCTTTACAAGAATGTTATTAATCAACTTAATTTCTATGTTTTCCCAAGCTACTCAAAGCCTCCTAGCATTACTTAAATAATGAAGAAATATGGTATATTTATTCACTGTAATGTTGGTGCTTAATGCAGAACACGAGAAAACATATATTTACTATAAAATAATATACTTCCATTATGAAATAAGTATATATGTGGCCTCATAGGAAGTCAACGGTCCAGGTGTCAATGTTGTGGAGCGACTTATCCAAGATATATTGTTGTCTGGAAAGTGTTTGTTGGCATATCAACTTTCTGTACACAGTGATCCAGTCGTCGCACTTCTCTCCTTAAATGATCGCAAATTTAGTTTATTATATTAACAAGTAGAATACGTATTTCTAATAATATCTAACATAACTAGCCAGAAAATATTTAAGACTTATTGAAAAATACATGTCTGGAAGTTAAATCGACTTCATAGAACAATAGTGTTGGTCTATACTAATCGTTATTCGTTAGTATGCGTTCGCTACTCAAAACATTTACTGTACTGATGTAAAATCTCCCATGTCTCTTCGCACATGGAACACCGAACCTTACACACTCTCTGATATATTGTTTAATTAATAGAGATTCACTAATAAAGCTTATAATTGTATATGTTATCAAAAAGGCATAGATAAAGTCGTTCTTACGTTTTAGTCACAGAGATTAGATATTAGTAAAGTAAAGTTCATTTTATTCAGGAAAGTACATAAATAGTCGATTTACAAACATAATATTGGATTTATAGATAGAGCTAGTACATACAATACCTAAAGCCACTAGTACGCATAGCGTTTCGGGCATATTATTGAGAGAGGAAAGATATTTATATTTAAACAATTTTTTTTTTTTACCGATGCTCTCCCTATTGATGAGAACTACAACCTAATGAAGATAAATGTTAATTTTATGTAGATACTGTAATGTGTAATATGTAGATACGAAAGTTTTTAATGTCATCAGAGAAGCAGAAATATAGGCAAATTTTAAATCCCTTGTCATAAATATAACTCAAATGAAAGCAAAGATATATGCATTTTGATAATTACAAAGACAGCTCTTTAACACGGGTGGAACACGAACAAGGGGAACTTAGTACCCAAATGAGCCACAGAGATATTAGAAAGAATTTTTTCAGTGTCAGAGTAGTTAACAAATGGAATGTATTAAGCAGTGATGTGGTG